TGTATATATATATATATATATATATATATATATATATATATATATATATATATATATATATATATATATATATATATATATATATATATATATATATATATATATATATATATATATACACAATCAACACCTCCACCCGCCAGGATTGAACCCGGCCCACGATGGACCAGGCGCTAACGCTGTGGTCACCATCACATCATAGGTACTACATGTAGAATGTGCTTTTTGCTAATGAAATATATATATATATATATATATATATATATATATATATATATATATATATATATATATATATATATATATATATATATATATATATATATATATATATATATATATATATATATATATATATATATATATATATATATATATATAAACACACACACACAGTATTACTAGTACTGTATTGCTATAAACGGAAAGTGGTTTAGTCGTGAATAATATGAAGAATGATAAAATTTTTAATTTCATTCATGATGTCACTACCACTACAACATGTACAGGCACTGTACATTTAAATAAGTTAGGATAGTAATGTTGCTATTCATTTACAGTTTGCATCTCTCTCTCTCTCTCTCAAGGATGGTTTACCGAAGACATAATATGCTAATTAATAATATCACACATGGCCATTCACCGGTAAGAATGATTATACAGGCATTTCAATACTGAAGGAAAATTTGTCATATTTCACTCCAAGCATATTAGCAGAGACAAAAATATTCTAGTTTACAATCCAATACTGTATTGTGGGGTGAAATGTTCTTCACAAAACATACCTGTACTAATATAAAAAAATATCCTTCAGTATTAATTTGTTAGACCTGAATCATAACTTAGCAACTTTTAATCTATACATTCATCCCTGGTTTACCCACACATGTAGTAAAGCATTTTTATTATATTTAACAGCAATTATCTGGTAAGAAATTGTAACCCTTTTATGTTTAGCCACCAGCATACATTCTTTTACCTCATATGGAGTTACAATCTGGTGGTGTTTGAAACAATGTAGCTTTAAAATTTTCAGTGAGTACACCAAAGGTAAATATGGTATAATTTTCATATGTTACTGTGTTATCACCTTAATTTCTATAGCAGTTCAGGTATCTATAGTCAAGTGAATATTTTCCAATTATACAAATAACACTAAAAACTTCTCCAAATTATTAATATTTTCTCTTTCTCCCTTGCACCTGAGGAATTTCCCATTATTTGAGTTATCTGTTGTCCTGAGTTCATTGTATTTCCTGTACTGTGCACTGTAAACATTTCACACCATGAAAGTGAACTAAATCAACATGCAGACATCTCTTGTAGGTCAACACATAGTTATCTTCTGTAGGTCAACAATAGTTACCGAATACCCTGTAGGTCAAGAAGTATGCATCTCTTGTAAATCATCATAATACCTGTACTTTCCCACTAACTCAAGGAGCAGAATTGTCTCCTGTACAGTTTTTGATCAAAACTGGTGGATGTAAAAAAAAAAAAAACCTTTGTAACATAACAAACAAGTACAATACATTACTGTATGAAAACTTGAGTGATTCTACAACTACTTTCTAACTCCATACACTGAAAAACACACGGAACAGTATAAATGCTGAAGATTCCACAAACATCCCAACTGTGTCACTTCTGTTAAGGAAGATGGTGCCTTATCTTATTATAAAATCCTTGAATTTTAAAGATATTTCAATCCTACAGCAAAAACTCAAACTGCACACTCAGTACATTATTTGCTTATTGTTATAATCCTAAAGGAACATGTACATTTTTAATTACCCCCCTTTACAGTACCAAATTAGTCAAATATCACAATAGCTAATAATAACACCAAAGTGATGAAGTGAGTGATGCAGTAACTGTAATGTATACATTATTATCAATAAATGTACAAACACGAGATATCAAATTTCATATTCCTATTAAAGCTCATTATATTTTTATGAGTTAAAAATGAAAAATCAGCTTTCGTTTCTATCGTCCTTCACATAGCAATTGCAATGATGTATGAATGAATTAGACTAATATCACAAAGTACATTGCCCCAAGATACAATACATATGATTCTAAAGCACATGAATGATAATATTATGCAATAATAAATTCAATAAAAAAGACATTGAATTTATTTGTTACCTGCACAAGTACTGTACTGTATTTGGTTGCTAAATACAGATGAAAACCGAATAACCACCTATTCTTCCATTACCTCTTTCCATGTAAAGAACACTTAAAATTATAGTACTATACAGTTTTAAGTCTGTTTAATGATACTTGAGATATATTATTGTGTATAAAAAACTGGCCTTTCACTGTTTGTCCATATGATCATATAACACTTCAGACAGCATACAAATATGTGAACTTAAATGGGGCATTAACATTAATATACTGTATATAATTCTTAGTACAGGTATCTGGATTTAACTGCATTCTTACATAGTACCAAGTTAATATTAGTAAAATAATCAGGTCTCACAAATTGGTTGGCTGGCCATGAAGAATATGTTATGGTTACTGTAGTTATCCTTCCCAAAACATCTCACTTACAAGCAAGGATTATGTTCAGTTAGGTTAAGTTAGACATACTGCATACAAAGGCTAAACTTTTACCTTTACACATGAATAAATGTGAAGGATTTTAAATAAATAATGTGTATTAAGAGAGAATGAGAAGAGTATATTAAATTAAATATTGGTTGAGAAATATAGTTTATAACCAGTAAGTTAAGCTTGAAATAAACTCCCAAGGCTATATGTAAAATATTTAGTCCCTATTTCACTTAAATTCTTGCATCTTACACCCACTCAAATAACTTTACACATGTATTTGTTAGCATGAATGAGCTTAATGACTAAACTTAGTATGCAGAGTGAAGTAATATAAAGCAATGTAAATCAACGTGGAGGTTAAGAATTTACTTAGTATGCTGGATACACAAGTTAAGGATGAGAGAATTTATGTGTGTGTATGGAGCATTTCTACTTGTTTTAGCCTGTTTCTGTCACTATCTAATATTGTCTCCTTGTATATTTATTAAATGAGTACAGTACAGCATCATGTGTGCTTGCCAATGGTAGAACAACCCTTCAGTGGACTAGCATTCTGACAATGGGGTGGTGTAATCCACTAACTGCTTTATGAACAACCCTTTGGTGGACAAGAACACTACAAATGGAGTGAGTTAACCCACTACAGGTAGTTAATGAATGCCAAGCACTGTATCACATCAGCACCTGTTTAGCCACCCTGCATCATTGCAGCAAAAGGCTTGTACACTTCAACAACCCTGTGTTGTGCTCTGTGGTGGGAAAGGGAATGGAGGAGTGAAATAAATACTGCATACAACCAGTTAAGGTGTGGGGCTAATAACTCCACCCAAAGATTTGAAGGTTTAAATGTGTGTGAAGTTGTAATGAGAAAGTGAAGAAGTGATTAAAGCAGTAATTAAGGATAGGAACCTATATATCTTGGCTTTGAGTAAAATTATGTTGATTGAAAGACATCGTAGAAATACTGCATGGTTAGGAGAGTTAACAGATGAGGAATCTGGAAGGAGAGCGAGGCAGTGCTGATAAATAATGAAATGTGGAGTTGCAAGATAAGCACAAGAGGGTCACTACCAGAATATTATAGTAAGACAAAAATAGAGTTTAATGTACATACCAAAGTGAGAGAAAAAAGAGGAGGAGGAAAGAGAGATTTTGGGAAGATCTGCCTAATTGCATTGATAACTTACTAGTTAGAGAAAGAGTGAGTGATGGGAGATTTAACCCTAAAACTGCAAAGTCCCTTATATGAGGCCACTTATGTGACTAAATTCCATCAAATGAGAATTAATTTTTATAATTGTGCATTGATTTTAGCATTGATAAACCACATCACATGTCCCAATAGATCTCCTTACACCTCAATATGGCTCTCCATGGTCTTTGTCAACATGGAAACCACATGTTCATCACTGTTTAGTAGTCTGCTCCTCCTCCCCCCTAGTAACAAGGTCCCTAAATGCTCACTTAAACACTCCAAATGTCAATAAATTATTTATATTTTTATTTCTTTTCTTGTGCATGTATACCTTCAATTATAGGAATACAGGTTTAACATGTGTTTAATTTTATTTATTTTGGGTTTATTACACATACACTGGTAAGATGGTTTTCCAATAACTGCAGTCTAAGGGTTAAATGCTTTAATGAATGACAGAAAAGTACAGTAGTCCCTCGGTTAGCGAATGGTTCGATTAATGAAATTTCGGTTAACGAATTAGCTCCCATAAGGATTTTCAGTTCGATTAACGAACAAAACTTCAATTAACGAAATCCCTACGACAAACACGTTTTGTTGTGCGCATATGCTGATCAGCTGATCGGCTAGTCTGCCAATACAGTAATTGGTTCTATGTTTACATTCATTTCCAGTAGAGTAAATATCAAGAAAGTTGGTCTCTTGAATATTTCTGCATTTTTTATATTAAAATTATTGGTCATTCTGAAATTAAGTTAACTTATTGATAATACTGACAGTACAGGGAACAGTTTTTGTGAGCCCATCAGCTGATTGAATCACCCAACAACGCTTCTCAGTTTAACTTTGTTTACAGTGGAGTGAACATTGAGTTTGTTGGTCTCTTGAATATTTTTGCATTTTTACATTAAAATTATTGGTCATTCTGAAATTTAGTTAACATATTGAGAATATACAGTGCAGAAATTATTATGAAACACGAAGAAGGCATTAGAACCAATGCACTCTGTAAAGAATATGGCATGTCATCATCAACTGCCTCTACAATCAGCTGTTTGATATGTAAACAAAGCTACCGGGAATATGACATACACACCTCAAAGTAAGTTAAAATACAGTATTCTATTATTTTTTATTTTTTATTGTACAGTATACTGTACAGTACAGTACTGTATTTAGTTTATATTTAATGTTTTGTTACTTCTGTTACTGGTATACAGTACTTTGTATGTATACTTTTTCTGTGAGTTGGAACCATTTATCCAATATCCCATTGAAATAATAGATTCAGTTAACGAACGACTCTGTGGAACGAATTGTGTTCGTTAACCGAGGGACCACTGTACAGTAGATGGAATTTTGAGAAAATAGAAAATACCAGGAATAAATGAAAATTAGATACTGCCATTAATATCAGATTTTACATCCAATAACTGTCATTATTTATCCAGCCCAAAGAAACCATGGAGTATTCCTCTCTGATCTACTACATGTCTTATGTGAGCACACAATAACCTCTAATGGGCAATATTATGTAAAGGTCAATTTACCCTTGGATAGGAAAGCCAGTGTGTCCCCCAACCATCATTCAAATAAAGGTTCCTATAATTCTGATTAAGAACCCCCTGGATATTTTTTACTCTTGGGGCCAAGCACAACACCTGGTAGAAAAAAACTGTTTTAGAAGATAATCTGCGTTACTTGCTAAGAAATGGAGTGCCTCCCTGTGACACAGTATGGGCTACCCAGTCTTAAATTCAACTGGTAGCTGGAACCAATAAGTTCCAGCTACCAGTTGAATTTAAGACTGGGTAGCTAGCACATGTAAACAACTCTGTACTACAAAGAACTCCAGAACTGCATGGCCAGCCTATAAACTCAAGCATCAAAACATTGAGGAACTCTTTCTATAGGAAATGTTGCTGGAAGGAGGAATTCTGCTTACAAGTGAAGATTGGATGGAACTAAGGCCTGAAAACTGGGACTGACAGGAATGCTCAAGCAAAGTAACTAGTGTAGTGCACACAAGCTAATGTGATGTTATGACTTATTGCTTTCTCCCTTGAAAGGTAACTGTTATTCATAAAGATCTCTTTTTAAGAACTTGTTTATGAAGGGAAAGCACAACACACATATAGATTTATGTCAGTCATTAATGCTTGGAGTTTCCCTTGGTTTTCATCCTATAGGGTTTGTGGGCCTCTTCTATATTTCTGCAATATTTGTTAAGAACAACATTAAGGTATAAAATCATGTCAGTTGAGAATACAAGAGAAGTGAAAAGAGACTATCTAATGGAGAAGAACAGTGGGTAAAAGACTGTACAGAACCAAATGATCCAAATTAATGAACAAATTAATACTTTCAGAATACTATGCAATGAATAAGTTTAAATTAGTTTCTGTCTAACACAGTTAAATATATTTATAAAATTCCTACTTAGCGGGTTGACAAACAGACAAATAGTAAGGCCTACAGTAATGGTTCGTGTCTATGATGCCTCACTCTGCCAGGAAGCTCCGGTCTGTGGGGGTAGCCACCAGAAGAGCCTCCTTGCTGCCTAGCACTAAATATGTTCACACTCATTTCTAGCCCCTTTATCCCTGTTCTCTCCTTAATGTACAGTACTGTATACTGTTCTACCATTCCCTCCCATGATGTAGCTGTACCTGACATACCTGCTACATTGCTTCTAATTACTAGTAATTGATAATTGGAAAAAAAACATCCCCCTTGTCTACAATATCTAAAAGAATTAGTTGACTGAATCAATACCAACCAAGTATTATGCATCAATGAGCCTTGTACACAGCTCTTTCAAGAACATGCATCATTTCTCTCAGCAAAATGGTCTCATGCATCTGGGGTGAAGACATACTAAAATACTACCACATATTTTAAGTAATTCAAAGTCACTATGCACATTACAGATGCACTTAAATCCAGTAAGATAATTCACAATTCAGAATGTATTATAATCTAATCAGTAAGTTATTATTATCTTATAAAAACTAGCCAGATTTTGTCACATAAAAGCTGTTAATTCAATAGGAAGATACAGTATATAACCAACATCTCAACTAGTGTGATATTACTATATCTAGCCAATTGATAAAAAAAACACTACTTCAGTAAACTATACAGTATATAAAGAGCATAGATGTGTCTAAATGTTTATAAAAAAATATCACAATTAATTATTATTTTCCTACTTGTAAGTCCAATCACTCACAACCAAGTAGTATTAAAAAATTCCATTACACAAAACTCATCTGTTTTATGAGTTTGCGTAGAATAAAGGCCAACACTAGTAAGCCAATTACTAATGTGGCATAACATTATGTGACTAGAATATAATTGATATGTCATGTAATTTGAAAGGATGAAAGACATATATCTGAAACAGATGACCACGACAAACAATTACGGGTACACAGATAAAAACATTTAGCATATCTATCAGTCACGACAAAATTAAAAACTGTAGTGCTGCAGGCAGGCTTTTAAAATTTTTCTAAGTCAAATCAATACTAAAAAATGAGATAAAACATCTATTAAATGCTGGAGATTTGTCTTTCATAACCAGTATAAAATGGTTGAATCATTAAAAAAAAAAAAATTCACATCAGTGTTATTCAAGGTTTGTTAAGAAGTACTTTGCTGAAAGATGCAAAATAAAAGTGTACATGTGATTTGGTAAGATGACACAATAATTGTAAAAGAAGATGTAAATAAAAAAAATAAAAATTTCCTATTCTAAGTACAGTACTGTAATGTACTCCTTAGGTAAAATTATTAAATGGTGTTCCTTAATTGCTTCAGTAAATGCAATGATCCAATGAGCATTAGGTACTGGTTTCAACAGTAATTCATATGCTTGAATACCACTGTCAATTACACTATAAACAGATTTCATTATAAATGATATCACTATGTTAAAAAAATTGGCATTCATAAGGATGGTGTTAAGGTAAATTAATATAATAGTGAAATACTGTACTGTACAATATACACTGCTCTTCTAACCTTATGACCACCACAGCACAAGAACATTCTAGTTTACCTTAACAATTGAGTATTATTGGGCCTTGAATTATAAAATACGTCTCTATTTCCTATCACTGTTATTTGTATCATTGCATATACGTACAGGTGTAGTAGCCATACATACAAATAAATTTGATTTTAAAATAGATATTCATTCCAGCACTTGGGTACAACCATGTTTAACTCGTCAATAGATTCATATTCTCTCCTTCAGTGTAGAATTATAAAACCTATCTGATTCACTCCTTAAACTTAATTTTATGCAGCTTAAGTTTGAAGCCAAGTAGATCTGAGAGGACACCAGAGCAGGCTGACAACACTACCAGGCGTGTTATGTTATACAGAAGAGGATTTGCTGACAATCCTGAGATTTTGAAGGGACTCTCCAGTTCCTGTTGAGAATTTTTTCATTAGGGTAATAGCCACTTCTTTTCGAACAATGTATATGGTAATAAATTGTTTTTTTAATTTAAATGCATCTCTGAAAAAGAAAAAGAATGCTAAGAAGCACTTATTTATTTATGGTATATATTTCTATACTTTATCTGTAATAAATAATAAACTCCTGAGCAAGTTTCAGCACTCCAGCAGCATTAAATCAGTGTCAGTGATCATGTCAACCATATCACAGAATTCATCGACATAGTCCCGTGACATATCTCCAACGTTGAGTTTCCCTGGACTTGCTGTGCGCACATGGTTACGTGCACAATGCACATAGTCAGCAAAATCTTGCAGTCTGTAATCTACTCCACTGCCTCTCTTGTGTAAGCACCTTCCACTCACTACACATTATTAAGTTGTTGCCAACACCTTTCTTACAGACAGCAGGTCCGTCACCCTAACCAGTAAACAATAATTTTGTTTTTGCCACACTCACTCTCCAGCCCTTTGATTTTTACTCCATCCTTCCATTTCTTAAATTTCTCCACTGCATCTTCAATACTATCTTATGTCAGCACTAAGTCATCAGCATAAAAAAATTTCCAGGGCAGGCCAGTCCTAAAGTCTACTTTTCTAGAACTTAGAATCCCATGGCAGGATGAGTACGGCAAACAGTTGTACTGTACAATAGTCAATCACATGAAAACAGGTAAGCCTAAGCATTCTCATGTTAAAAAGTGATATTGAACTTTATATAAAGTGAAGTCTCATAGACCCTGAAAAAGGTTTTTTTCTTCAAATTAATGTGTGCAACGAAAATAATGTACCAGTAATTAAATAATATTTGTTACTAACCTTCAGGAGTACAGAGACAAGTTTAAGAACATTGTTGGCAAGTATAAGCTCATCTTTCTTCTGCGGCTTCTGCTCCATATGTAAATACATATTGATCTGCTCAGTGATCAGGACAGAGAGGCTTGAGTACTTCTTATTGATCATGGCACCCAGTGTCATGAACCGAATCAAGTAAATACCAATTGCAAAGCACCTGCAAAAAACAAAAACAAACAATATTTTTTATGCTTAATATCTCCTCAATCACATCTGAGGTTATCATGAAAGTGTGTGTACTACTACACCTCTCTTGGTGCCACACCATTCTTACAGCCTGGCTCATTATCATCCTCACCTATCATTTTTTCTTCTTTCAACTCAAATTTTTTAAAATGTATTAGTTTATGATGATGGCCATTATCCTTACCAGAAGAATAATTCACAGGTGTACAAGGACTGTTGTGTCTTCTCATCTTCTTTCAATAGCTCAAAGCACAGGTATGATACAAGTAGGAGGGTGATGATGAAAGTTGCAGACACAATGACATCAACTGATCGCTGGGGACCACGTTTCTGACAAACAAAGTCAAAAGTTAAAATTTAAAATTCAAAAGACAGTGCACCATATATCAAACAGCTAAATTAACATTACAAGTAACAAGTTAGATATCTTCTCACCTATTTTATTACTGTATATATTTACCCTGTACAGTATTTAATTCCCACTTGCATTACCGATTAAAGAATGTCATCTTTCTATATGAAAAAGAAAACGATACACTTGAAGATGAAAATACCCACCAAAGGAAAACTAAAATGCTCCTCATCTCACAAGGTGAGTCACTCCGATATTACTACAGAAAAGTGAAAATATTTTAGCCATTTTTTGCTGACAAATCAATAGAACATGTCTTCTATCAATTTTCACATGACTATTATAGTTTCTCCCTTTGAATTTGTAATGGATCTGATTGTTTGTATTCTTTATAAAAAATTGAATCTATTACCATCACCTAGTGTACCATGGCTACTCATTTTCAGGCACTAAAAAAAATTTCCCAAAAAATAATTTTAAATTCTTTTACCTTCAAGCATGATCTAACTGACAGCCATGTCTTAATATTGTGCACTTTATTCAGCCTGAAGTGTGGAAGATCATATTTTCTGTAGATAAGAAACAAAATTATTAACTAAAATCCAGGAAAATTTCATTTTTATGTTATGCAATAACATAAACCTGTTTTGATGTAGCAAAAATTTTGAGACCCCAAAATGTATCCTACGTTTTTCCATGAAAAGTTCAGTTGTGTTAATTTAATACACATGAGGTTATTCCAGAATAAACTGAGAACCTACCATATTGTGAAAGGGGGGAAACTTTCAAATAAGCATTAGTTATAAAAAAAAACAAGGAGCACATGCTAGAGATAGATGATAGAATGCTCATTTGAGAGAACAAAGTGCAAAAGAACAAAAGGTGTTTATTTACTAGAATAACTAAACAGCCCTTTGGTTGTACTGAGATGCATTAAACTGAGAAAAACTACTGAACTTAGATAAAATACAACTAAGTGAGGTCAATAAAGTCAACTCTAAAAGACTTTGTATTTAACTCAAAATAGAAATACAGATATTTAGACCTTAGTTATGTATTTACAGCACCCTACTGTATATATTATGCATAAGGTACCAAGTGGTTTTTGTTCTCTCTCTCACACACACACACATTAAAGTTAGTACCCGACACCAATACACTACCTTCATTATCAACACTGAAATATTTAGGTCATATACAAGAATTATTTAATCACCAACCGAGCACGTCGAGCTGAGGTGAGATAGCAGAAGTGTTTGGCGTAGAGGAACCTTTGCTTGAAGGTACGTTCAGCAACAGCTAACAAAAAGAAGAAGCCAGCTGCCAAAGCAAATCGATACACACAGCTGAGAAAAATTACTGTGGATACCCTGAAATATAGAAACAAATATGTGTTAGTATTAGTCATATTTTACATTCTAGCAAGCCATTTCATGCTACAGAGAAGCATAGATGGAATCAAGAGTTGCACACTCTCCCTCTAACTGTTATCCATCGATTCTAACTACTGTACCAGGAAATTAATTACCACTAATTTGTTAATACACCTCAAATTTTGTACACAATCTCCCCCAAAAATTGTTGTTAACCTTTAGTTAATCACAGTCTTGCCAAGGAACCTTTCCCCTGTGATTAGGGAGCTGTAACCTGTGTATATACTGCACTGACTCTTAAAAGGTGCTCAAAACATGTTTTGTGTCATTTTATTATCTTGGAGAATTTTTTTTCAAAGAATGGTAGTCAACAGGAAAATCTGCTTCACTTTACAGATTTTCTATTTACAGATGTTTATTCAAGATTGCAACCCTTCTATAAATCAAGGTCTACCTGTATGTGTGAAATACAATATAAAATATAAAATACAACTGAGAAGCATGTGCATGTTCTCCCTCTCATGGCCATGTGTCAACTAACATGTCTCTGTGCACCAAGAAGGTTCTTGAATGAATTAGAATTTTTTTTCTAATGATAGAATTGCAAAACCTAACACACTGAGACAAACGAATATTTTTATCATAAAATTGAAAATGTGAATTTGCGATAATGAGGACTACCTGCATTTCTCCATTTCACTTGGCTAAGGATTAAAAGGACTAGAGGCAACAGGCACTCATAATCAAGACTGGATCTATTCTGCCTGAGTGCTGTGATTGTTTTCAGAGTATATGTGGGTGTAGGTCTCCTGGTGAAGGTTGAGAGGAAGAGCATGATGAGTTTACTGATAAAATAACAGTTTCACTTATATTCTAGACACAAACAGAGACTTCTGTGGTGGTGGTGGTGAGATTCCAAGCTGTTGCTGATAAAAATGTCTAAAAAATCATGAGAAAACAGAAAATCCCAAGGGTGATGAAACTAAACTGTGTATGATATTGTGTGAGCAATTACTATAGGATGAGGTCAAGTGCACTTGCCCTCTACTAAGTATGCTCAGGAATGATAAGTAGAGTAAGTACTGTATTTGATCACTGGATATGGATATTGCTGCTCATACTCTTTCCTTTGAATCAATGTGAGAAGTACACATGGTAAAAACAGCACTTGTATCTTCCTGAAGGAGTCTGATGAATTTTGATATGATCAATATAACTCGTGTTGCCTCCGTGGGGTTGTCAAAATCCTCCGTCCATTGTAATAATGTTTCACATAAAAAGTGGTAAGATTCTTTTTTACTGTGCGTACAAGCCAGATGACATCCAATAAGGAATATGTTAAATATCAGAGGAGAAACATTAGAAACGTGAAATACTAAACTCATTTGGAGAATACTAAAGACAAATACTGTATAGTCCAAAAAATTTTTTTAGTGACATGCCCTAAACTACACAAGATCAAATATCTGGCAACCTTACCATCCATTACTGCCCAAGAGCCCCAGGAAAATTTTCTCTGTAGTGTCTCCAAGTGCTTGAACCCATTGTTGAGATCCATTGGTCACCACAGTATCTAAGAGCACATCCAGTGCACAGAAGTCCACACGGTATATGCTTGGTACTAGAGCAATCAAGGTAGCCATTGTCAGACCTGAGAATGGTTGTGTCTGGTGAACCGTAGTGTTATGGATCCTGGGATATAGTTAATGCTATTTCAGTCTACACAATACTGTACAACCTTTTTTTCATATTCAGTTAAACCCCAATAATCCAGACGTCAATATTGTACAGTGTAATCAGAATATCTCGATATTGTAAATTTCAGAGCCTTTGCAAGCTGACGAGGCTTCTGACTCAGTCCTCCATCCACCATCGTTAGCACTTTGTGTTGGTTTTTTACCTGTGATTATCTTTAATTACTATTTTTTCAGATAGTACTGAACGAAAAAAGAAAAGCAAGGTATGAAGAGCAGGATAAATTTTCTCAAAATCACGCTAATCACATAAAAAAAAAAAAATTTACTAAGAAATTATAAGATATTCTCAAAGTACTGTCTGACATTTTCAGACTACGTAAACATATTGAAATCAGAGATTTCAGATTAGGAAATTATTTTCTATAAAACTTATTAAAAAAATATTTAAAAAATTCACCATGACTGCATCTGATATTAGGGGTCAATAGGTTGAAAGGAATTATATAATGGCAATTTTAGGTTCTTTTCCCGATTATCAATTACTTAATACTAAACCAACCTGTAATTAATTAATACACATAAAGCAATGTATAATATCAATCTTTAAAAATATCTAACTATTAGCTCTGAACAGAAGTAAACTTATAGAGTGAATGGAACTCTGAGTTTGTGACATGAGAGAAGGATCTGCTTCAGCTGTACTGGTGAGGACAATTCATTGGTTAATATTTTCATTGTTATCTGGTTTAGCAGCTTTTATACACCTCATGAAATACAGTACTGTATAACATTTGAAATCCTGAACCAAAACATAAAGTAACTACCACAAGTAATAAACTGGAGATGTTTTCACTTGCTGAAACTCAAGCCTCGGGTGATGTAAGGTCATCATCATATTACTACACCAAATCTTTGTCCTCAATATACCTGTGTAGTTCAATATTTTACACATACTGAAATTATATGTGGTTTACCTCAATTGGAGAGGATTAGTATCAGACACAAAAATGAGATTGTTTGTTTTATTCAGAGAAGATACAGTACATTATATGAATAATATGTCAGATTATCAAAAATTTTTGTACTGTAGTCATACTTAGTAAAGCCTCAATATGTTATAAACCCTTTCATTATGGGATGTCACTTTTTAATATTTCATTTGGCTAACACAAGATCATCAGTGAACCATTAGTTAAAACAATGGGTCATGCAGCTGTATCAAATCATGTCAAGATATACCATCTGCTTCTGCTTCTTATCAAAAACTTAATACAGTACCCAGTATCTGTTCATAAACGTTTATCGTATATGGTACTATACTTAGTCAGTTGAGTGTTACCCTATTGATACACACTATTAAGTATGCAGCATCAGCCTCAATTTTTGGTGCACAATCTCATAGAAATGTCATCGTTGGTTTTATCACTTCAAGTACAGGGCGTCCTCGCTTAACGTCGGGGTTACATTCCTGAAAATGCGACGTTATGCGAAACAACGTTAAGCGGATCAATTTTCCCCATAAGAAATGGATAAAATATGGGAGTTACGTTCCCCAGCCTCCCTTTGCCACATAAAAAAAGTTATATATACAGAAAATTATTGCCATTTCTATAGAGAATAGTATATAGAACTACAGTACAGGTACTAAGTTCGTATTGGTACTCACCGATGGGCGGAGATGGTAGAGCGAGTATGTGGTGGGTAGTGGAGCGGAGGAGGAGAATGGCGGGAGCGGAGGAGGAGGGTGGGAGCAGAGGAGGAGGATGGGAGCGGATTAGGCAGGAGAGGAGGAGGGCGGGAGCAGAGGAGGGCGGGAGAGGAGGAGGGTGGGAGCGGAGGAGGGCGGGAGAGGAGGAGGGTGGTGAGTCACTGAGTTTCTGCGCCTCCTCCTCCTCCTGCTCTGACTGGGGTTCCTCTGCCGCTGCTTGCTCCTCCTTCGTTGTTGGCGGGAATGTCTCGGCAGCAACCGTATCTGAACTGGCAGCTTCACCAGTCAACTTTATGTTGTGGAAGTAATACCGACGCTTAAATTGTTGAAACCAGCCTCGGCTGGCCGTAAAGGTCTCTTCCTTCGATCCTTCACCCTCTGTTTCCTTCATGTCGTCAAACAAGGATCTCGCCTTATGCTGGATAACCATAAGGCTCACAGGGGCATTGCGTTGATTCTGGTCCTCCATCCACATTGCCAGCATCTTTTCCACCTTCTCTATCACAGTGCTTCTAGTACGAGTCGTCTCAGTAGCACTCAGAGAAGAACCACTTCCAGCACTAACCTTAACCTTGTCAGTGTTGGTCCGGATAGTACACACCGTTGTGGGGATTAGACCAAGCACAGCGGTTATGTCCACAGCACGTTCCCCCTTTTTAAATCAGGTTAGTACATTCATTTTCGTAGCAAGGGTAATGGTCTTATGTTGCCTCTTCACTACACTAGCATCAGTAGCATTTGATGGCCGCTTGGAAGCCATTTCGAATGGTTAGAGTACAGTTTTAGAGCAAAAGCACTTAAGCACACACGAATGATGTGAAGTCGTAACAGAGACTGGCTTGGCGTCGCTTGGGGATGCTGTGACGTTCTGCGAGTGAGGGCAGCGCACCGTGCCGAGAGAACGCAGCGCGGCCAGACAAGAGCGGGTGATGAGAAGTAGAAAGTAGTCCATGACGACGCAAAACGACATAGTATCGGATCACTGGGACGTTAAACGAATTTTTGGTCTCTAAAAGTTCAGCGACGTAGTACCGAAACAACGTTAAGCGAGGACTTACTGTAAAAGGAAAGACCCACACTGTCAACTGATAGTGAAGTCTGATTTCTGTGCATGAACTATTTTTCTTATACAGTACAGGGTATATCTTGCTGGGACCAGAATTTATAAGTCAATATAGAAGCAATATCTTACCAAATTGAAGATAGTGAGTGGTGTGTTGAAGACTGTCCACCTTGGAGATGACTGCAGAAGAGATATCCAGCACAGAGAGGTCTACCTTCTTCACTTCTACTCCCTCCCAAATCTTGCAGCTAACTAGATTATATGAACAAGATACAGCTTTAATGATCACTTACTAGAGCATATTTAACCCAAAATTAACTGAAATATTGTACATATGCAATGAATTAATTAGAATCAACTTAGGAAATCTAATTGTGAGAAAAACAGGAATGTGAGAAAACCGTACATTTTCACTGATATGTTATGTCATGTGGCCGTGAAGTGGTACAGTATTTGTCATGATTTATATAGTGAATTCAAATTGTTTGCCATTGCAACAATGTCAAAAAACAACAACAAATTTCCAAATTGGTAACAGGCAAAAGATAAAATGTAATAAATTCTAATCTAATGAGATTTCTGCTGAAGGATTTTATTTTCAAGCAGAGTAAATCAAGGTTCAAGTGTTTTTGATGAATCTGATCTTACATATGCCTGAACAATCCATGGTCTTTTAACATAAAAATCAATATTATATGGTTATTTACATTAAATTCACCTCACCTTTAACTGACATATTTGACGTAGAAGTTATGATCGCTGCAGGAGAACCCTGGATGTTCCAGTCAAGAGCTTCCGAGCAGAGGAAAGTTTGGTTGGACACTTCATTATCATCCCAGCCTCCCTCACTCTCACTGCTGTAGCTCAGGTCATCAGTATTGGACGTGATTCCTGTCCATTCAAATTCTGAATGCTGGGGGCATCAGTTACCATTTTGACAAATGTTTTAATGCTTAATTATGTATTACACAGCCTATTATGATTCTAGTAATGTAATCTTTATTTAATAAATAAAAATTATGTATGGAGTGTTTTCCTAAGGTTAAAAATACTGAATCTCTTTTCATGAAATAGTGAATTTTGTAATTACACAATTGAAAATCATTAAATCATATTTAAGGTGACTATAAAATTACCCATACATGATCAACTCTTTCTTAAGAGATTGCAATTTGCAAATAGAATACAGGGAATACAAAATCTATTATGAATTCCTTAAAGGTATCACAAAGTGTGATCCAAACTTCTTCCATATCTAATCCTTAACAAGAGTTATTAAGTCACAATTTTTATTTCAAGACTATGTTCAAAATGTCAAATTTGGCATAAAAAGATTACAACTATCTCTCAAGAGAGATTTCCTTGAAGAGTCTACCACAAAATAGAACAATAATAATTCTGGTTGGCTGACCTTGGCCTACCTCTTAACTCACCACTGTCAAGCTACCAGAAAAATAAAATAAAATAAAATCTTGAATGACCCAAACCCACAAGAACAAATTAAAAAGAAAATTAACTTCCCCACAGGATATTCTCAACTCCTTTAGTTATATTCTGTGAAGTCTTAAACTGTTCTTCATAACCACAGAAGATTTGACTATCAATGCTGGAAAGTAACCATTTGATACAATATTCATATCTTAGATGAGTCCAGCCACTCACACCACTGCTGTAACTGGAGTTTACACTTCATTCAGAAATCAAAATTGAGTAAAATTGGAGGAGTGTGATGATTTCCCTTTGTATGACTCAGGAAATGAATGATAAAGCAGTGAGACATATAGCTACAAAGAATTTCATTGTACCGTACTTAAACACTGCATAAACTTATATGAGCACACATTATAATAATGTTACCTCAAATTCTCTAGGTGAAGTCATACAAATACTGAACACTGTAATTGACACAATCATACTCTTTAGTAGAAGTAGCATTATCAGGTTACCTTGGTTTTGGAATATTGGGAGGAGGGGCTCTGTTCAGCATCACTTTCACAAGAAGAATTGCATGAACTTCTCTGTGCAGCCATGTGAGGGAGTTTGTGAGGGGAGCGGCAGCTGGGGTGGGGTACACTGGTATCACTCAGCTGTGGGTATAGGTACACATGCTAATATAAAATACAGATGTTCAATGAAGGGGATGACCTACAAAATTATAAAGATAAAGAACAACATATTATTGAATAAAAGACACTACAAATTGTACTATTTACAATATTAGTGACTTTTAAAAGAAGCAAAGGACATAATAAGTACGAAAAGGCTGTTGATAAAGAGCAAACGATTAAGAGATAATTGTCACATGAAATGATCAGTTAAAATTCAAATTGGATTAATTGGATTAATCCTGACATAATCATTAAATGATTCTTTAAAATAACAATTTCCAGGGGTGAAAGAAACAGCCAATGATTTTCCAAAATGCCAAAATCTAGCATTGGTGGCCCTCTTGACCCCTAACTTTATATGTTACTTTCCATGACATAGTTGTAAACTATCTTACCAACAACCCTAGTGCAGGTACTGGGTTAGTGCCTTGTAGATTGTTAGCACTCTTACTCTGAGCCTTGGTAGCAAATCCAATTTTATTTACAAGGGTGCCACACTATGCCACAGGGACAATTAACAAAGCTTAAAGGTTGAAGTAGAAGCATATAGGAGCTACAATGAGATGGGGAAACATAATATGAAATACAAGGATCTATAAATAAAACGAAAAACATGACAAGATACAGATAAAATGACCCCACTGTAACAAGTTCACAGCCTCGTATGTCTTTTTGAAAGTTCATGAATGTGCTTAATCAAACCATGTACACACATCTTCTGTCTATGAACAAAAACTCTATTTTCAGGAAAATTATCACAGGGAGGAGGATAATAATATTTACTTAAGAATCTTTATCTTCGGCTGTGAATTACTGTATCTTTTACCTTCTTGTGTGATTCACAGTAGTCCCATCCACGTAATTTTGAAACTGTTAACAAGTCAGTGATACAGTGATATACTCTATGGTCTCACATCATGCCAGATATGGTGCGATGAGTACTGTATGTAATATTCACAAATCAATATTCTGTATCATATTTTATATAATAAATAACAAACTGACATGGGTGTTACTTAATCATAATGTTGAAACATGTGGAATCTTTTGCTCTGAGCTCCAGAATGACTCCCTCTCTTGCTTACTTAAGATTAACCTCTTTATTTACTTCAAGGTTAACTCCAGTCCCGTTTTTATGTTATTGTTAACACATACTCTCCATAAATTGGTTAAAAAGTGTTCTCTGGCAGAAGTCTAGCATAAAACTATGTTCGAAAAGTATTCACTGGGTAGATCTACTGCAAAGAGTTGGGAAAGACACCACCAGAGAAGCACCAACAATTGGCATTGGTATCAACAAAAATAAACAGTAGCATTGCTTTCATAGTTACAGGTAAAAATTTAATTTCAGCAAATTTATATGATATAATGTAAGTCTATGTGGAATTAAAACAACAATTTACAATCTAAAAATAATACTGGAGGTATAAATATCACTATGACCGGCCATGTTCTCCCTCACAAACATGAACGGTGATCAGTAAGTTAGTACACCTACGTCCCTCCTGTTCATGTGCTCCACACTCTCACTCCCTCAGTCTCATGCTGCCATGACATCTTTAATTCAAAACTTAACATAAAATAAAAACATGCATTAGTTACCTTGATTTAGTCACATTACTCAATCTTATTTATGTAGCTGTATTATAATTATCTTCCACGTTTACCGTAGGCCCATGCACTTCTTGGCCCAATAAGTCGCATTCATTCTCTCCACATGCCCAACCAATCTCAGCCTGCCTCCATGCAGAAATTAACCAATACTCTCATTACCCAGCTGCCCTTTGGCATGAAAATAACTAATTTACATCAGGTTTTATCTGAAGTTATTCTTTTACCAAAATAGTACGGTACAAAATATCTATCGTATCCTGAAAATGTAGTACCCTATTGTGATAATTAGATCATGAAGTTTATAAATCAACATCAGAGCCAAGAAAACTCATGGGTCATTTTATAGTCTTACCTCTCCTTTCATACAAGGGCAAAGTGGCCGTCTAACACCTCTCTTAATATTCCAACTGTCTGTGTCTGTTGTTGGTATTTCCAGGTCTCCCATTCCGCTTTCTTCACCACCATCACTCCCACCATCATTATCATGTCTTCGGTGTTCGGGGAGTTTCAGATGTTCTACTGAAGATCTGATGGACTGAATACCACAATTCTGAATGAGATTATTTTTGCCCTCAGGTATTTTGATGGAGGATAAACTTTCTTTATCTATATTCTGGCAATTTTTGCTGTCCTCTATTAGTCTGTCATCATCAGAAAATTTTGTTGAGTTAAGAATCATAGTAATTTCTTCACTTTCTGAATTACTGGCACAATTAAGTTCTGGTATTTTTTCCCCTTTGAACTGTTCCAAAAATGATCTATTTGCCTCATTGTTACCAATGACAGGGCTTCTATCACTGGATGATGTGGTTGCAGAAGAACTTGATCTGTCATTCTGTTTTTCTACAGGATCATTAAATGATTGGAATATTATAATTTTTGGCCTGCCAGCAGAATCCATAGGTGGCGAGGCATTGTTCTCTGAGGCAGAGCGAGGTCGTATTGGGAAGGTTTCTTCACATCTTGGTTCCTCGGAGTGAGATCTGATGATGACAAATATGAGGTTAACTTTCTGGAAGACCAACTTCACCCCTCCTCTTACCTTAGAGATCTTAAAAAAAATGTATTTATCATTCAAAATCCCAAGGAATTTACAAAAATAAGTACTGCACAGACAATAATATCATACCTGAATGTTTTAAAGGGAGATTTATTTTTCACTGAATTTATATGTTTCTTGGTAAAATGGCTGTGATGTCTAGAGGTATCCCGCTTACAGGAACTACAAAGTACACACTTCCCTAAAACAAAGTGATAGCATAAATTAAAAGTGAGGAGAAGCCAAGCAGGTCAATCCTAAACTATCTGAGAAAAGTTCAATAAGCATCATCCAGTTCTGAATAAGGTACAAGAAAAATTTCCAAATTATCTTCGCTACATGGTGCCTGAGCATCCATCAACCAGCATAAAAGTGGACTGAGTCAACCATAATAATGTTTACAAAATTAATCCTATGTCTGAACCACCAGCTGCTATAAGGGTCACCGTAACACTGAGCAAGGGGAAAGTGTTTAATGAATTATTTCCACACGTTGACTTTCTCCAACTACTGCAATCACAGACATCAACTTAGAGTTCTAATTTTCATTCCATTTGCTCAGCAAATTATAAGAATAATCCAAGAGAAAGGTAGGTTGAGATGTACCTTAAAAAGGGAGATTTTATATCAGAGTACAGAAAAGACAGCAGGTTTTCATCTCAAAACAGTCAGAAAATATATTAACAAATACATACACCAAAAATAGTCATGAGAAACACTTCTCATATTCACCTCTTCCAGAAAGAGAAGCACTTCTGCGTAATGGCCTCATTCTCCTATTTGAACGCACCCCCAGAGACCTACTGGTGTGACTTGGAGAAGACATTCCAGTGTGACGTGTGCACACAATCTGTGAGTGGATCACGCTCAGGACCACCAGTACAATTGCTGGCAGTAACATCTCAGACACTGGCACATCCTGAGATTAGGTGTTCATGAAAAATATAAATTTAAAACTAGTGAAATATTCTTTTACACATACCTGTACAGTAGTTCTTGTCTTTAAAGTCAATATACTCAAATCCTCAAAATATGACTCTCTCACTGATGCCTTAGAGCAAATATAAACAAGGGTACCCCTTGATGTAGGGGAATCCATTAAAGAAATTCACATTTACAGAATTTACTAATTACATTACTGTAGTGAAGAGGTTTCAGTACAGCATACAGAACATAAGTATTGCCCTTATAGATTTTCTGTTTTATACAGAATCTTTGAGTCAAAGGAATAAAGTATGGGAAAGTTAGGTAACATTCCTGGGCAACCTCCAATGCAGTGGAGCCCCTAAAATTTGTATCAATAGAGATCTGGCCCCTTCTGAAATTTGGACATTTCCAAATTTTTTAATAAATAATGTCTACAGCATACTGTATATAAAGACAGTGTAACAGAAAACTTTCCAATTGAACAAAGAAAATATTAATGTAGAATATAAGGAGATAACAGTACACTATAACTAAAAAACATAATGAAAACTTAGAAAAATAGGCAAAAGGAACACATAAGTATATAAAGCAAAGTATTTGATTTACTTCCATCTGACTTTCCGAATTTTCCAAAAAAAATTTAGTTCTTAATTTCAGAAGTTCCATTATACAGTACAGTACTTTGGTTTTTAATGGAGATATTGAAGAGATGCATATGGTTGATTCTTGAAAACAGAATCTATAAAAAACATTTAACAAATTAATAAAATGACATTTAAAACAGTTTTAAAGTCATACAATATTCCAGATAGAAAAATTTATTAAATAATGATCTGAAAAATATTGCCTTGTTGTAAAACTTATACAAATGGAAAACCACGGAGAGTGATGCTTAAGGTGAAGAAGCAATTTCTTATCTTTATATTTAAAGGTATAACTTGTAAATGCTAAAGTTTCATTGGATCTTTTTACTGCCATTCCCATTTGTTGTGTTGCCTTGGTCTATCACAATGCCTAGATCTATTTCCTTTCCTACAGTTTCCAAGACACTGTTATTCATAAGATAGCTGTGATTCATGTTATTGTGTCCCATGTGAAGAGTCTTAAATATTGCCATGTTAAAATGCCAGGCGATAATTTGAACTACTCATCCATATCTTTTGTTAAGTTGCAATATCTTCTTGACTTGCTACTTTCCCAATGTGTACAGGTTGCACTTCAAAAATCCAAAATGCTTGGGACCAGAGCCATTTCGGATTACATGTACTGAAGGTCATAAAAAAAAACCCTAATCACCAAATAAAATACTGCATGATAATTATACAGTACACTAATATGTATAACTTAAATCAAACTAAGTAACAATATTTGAAGACACAATTAGGCTTTAACGAGTACATTATAATACTGTAAATACACGCTCAGTAAAGAAAGCTTTGTTTATTTAACTCTGCAGCCAGCTGAGCGTGTGACAACACCATGGCTTGGCAGCTCACAGCAACAAACTTTATTAATACAGTACAGTTCTGTACTAACCTGATCATAAACACGTAGTAATGCAGCCAGTCAGCTGTGAGATAGCTACATCGTCTGGCACAACTCTTTACGTCCAAGCTAATTATCATTTATTAGTAAAGAATAACAACATGATTTCCTTGATTTTTTTTTTTTAATCCATCATTGCAATTTAAGAACCTGGTTTTAGTAAGAACAACAATGTGGTAGGGTGGATGAAAATGTTTACATTGCTTGATACTCAGATGACCTTAATTACAGCATATAATAAATGTATCACAGTGTGTGTGAGTTCCTTGGAAAATATACAAACTTTCTGAAAATATCTACTTTTGAAAGCCTCTTGATCCTAAGCATTGTGAACACTGGCTACTAAATTGTACTTAGTATCAGTTGACAAGATATGAGAGGGGAAGGAACTTGGCACAGGCAGAGATGCAATATAACACTGGGCATGACTTATAAATTGGCAGATTCCCTAATTTGACAAGGATACAGCTCCAAGCATGGTACAAGCGGTGTATCTCTCACTAATATGTCAAGGGTTCAAATCTTGCTTGGCCCAGACACACATGAGAAGGGAGTTACTCAGTGTGACAATACCAAACATCACAGGTTTCCTGGAGTATGGTTTTCTCTTGCACAAACACTTGATAGACCAACTGCCCAAATGGCTAGTAAGCTGATAAGTGATGAAAACAATAAATAAATAAATAAATAAATAAATAAATAAATAAATAAATAAATAAAATAAATAATTAAAATTATATTAAAAATAAAAGGGAGTTTTTGTGTATAGTGTGAGATGCTCCTTTTTAGTTTTACTAGAGTATGTTTTGAACTATTGTAGATAGTCTTTTACTCTAATTTATGAGCCCCGGTACAATTTAGAAATACAGCCAGATTACAGTATTACCCCGCTTTACGCGGTTTCACTTTACGCGGTGCCTCGCCAGAACCGAACTTTCACTTTCCGCGGTTCATCTACCCATATACGCGCAGAGTGTCCGGCTCGACGCTATTTTTAGATTCGCCCCACCCGCCTGCTCCCTCCTCCGCCTGGGCAAGCCGCGCGGTAAGGTTGCGCAGTGCATGTCTCTGTTGCGTTATCACTGACGTCATATGACGTATCGGACTGTGATTGGCCATGCATCCCTGCCCCCCTCTGCTGCTAGCTGTAATTGGTTTAAAGTAATATAACGTGTCCACCCGGGGAGGGAGGGAGGGAGGAAAGACGACGCTTGACCTAGCCGCGGCAGTTTCATCCCTCCAGGCCCCGTATGCCGACCCATCTCTTCTACTAACGTAAGTGTTACACCTAACTTTTAGTTTTCCTAAACTAACCTTTATTTTTCCTAACTTAACCTTTATTTTTCCTAACCTAACCTCTTCTATATTACTTGTTTGTGCATACCATCATAAAGTTAAGATAAAAGTTTTACTACAACATAGTTTTGTGTCGTCAAAAAGTGGAGTTTGGGGGTCGGGTCAGTCTCTATTGGAATTAATCCCATATGTTCTGTTGTTCCATTTATGCGGATTTCACTTTCGGCGGTACCCTGTGGGTTCAATTGACCGCGTAAATCAGGGTACTACTGTACTTGTATTTCACCTTAAGTAGAGAAAATGGAATACAGGGTATTTTTTATACCTCTGTATATCAGGAATGTACACACATGGGATTTTCATACACCAAAATTGCACTTACATTTTATTGTTGCAAATCCTGATAAATATGTACAAACTTCACTATACCGGAATTTACAGAGAACCTGAAGACAATCCATTACATATGATATAACAACTTATTAGTGGATTATATTTAATGTTAACACAACAAAGACAAACTGTATACTTCAAGTTTAAATTAAATTAGCTTGTTTGTGTAGAACTCAAAAGATTATAAAATAGTGGTGGTGATTATGATGATGATGATTACAACGATTAAGCACTGTAATGATATTGCTTACCTTGGTAATCCCTTCATCGTGTCTGTATGTTATCATAACAGCACCACAATATAAGATGGAGCAGTATATAGAGAGGACTCCAAAGAATCCAGCGCAGGACGTCTCATGGATCCACCAACGAAAATATAATGGTAAAAATATGATACGAGTAATACCGTGCAGCCCTGCTAACCACAATCCAGAATGGGGTTTTGCCTTGGGAAATGTTGACCCTGTGGACATGGTAAGTGTCTTAAAATACTAAAAGTAAATTACTAATTAAAATTGTTTTTTTACATTTAGTAACACTCTGTGGTTGAAAAACAGAGAACACTACAGTACAATAAACCAAGACATAATTACCGTGCTGTATATACTTACAGCTTTCCACCTTCAAAATATAGTACAGTAAGCATAAGGAATTGTATGATTGGAGTATTAATATCTTCATGTTTTAGTATTTAGTTTTACAAAATTTTTAACTTACTCAGTGACCAAAATAATGCAGGGCAAGAAGTTCTCACGAATTGAATGTAAAGTTATCACCTATCAGGCAAGATGGCCAGCGATACCCAGTAAATGATAAATATTTGAAAGAACTTCTGTATACGAGTTTATTAAAGCTGGACTCAATTTAATCTTATCAAGAAGATGAGTAGCAAAGTGCCTGGAGCGGTGAATTGTCCAGAAACAGTTGGTAGACAAAAGATTACGGTTATTGTCTGTTCCTTAGTACTCAATAATGAATGCCACTTTGCACTTATTAAAAACAGTATTGCAGGTGACTTTGCAGTTACTAAATATTACAATATTAAACTATTATTGTACATGGTTAGTAAATGTAATGCAGCAATCAAGGGTGAGAGGAGCCGGGGCAAAACAGAGTGGGTGGCGGGGCACGGGAGACGGGTGAGAGGAGCTACGGCAGAGGCAGAACTGAGTGAGGTGGTGGGATATGGGTGGAGAAGAGCAAAAGGAAAGGATAGGAATGTTATATACTTTAATTATCTGCAGCAAAATGGAAGTACTGGACTGCAACAATGAGCTGATGAGGACCAAATAAAGGAAATACTTGACCATATCATATGATTTACCATGATGACAAAAAATAAGGAGCAGCTTACAATAAATTAGGTTTAATATAAATGTCCAGCTACTATGTTGTTAAAGTTGGTTTATGGTTTCATATTGATTTTGGTACTAATTATGATAAGGATACAGTAAAAAGAGCTTTCCATATACTGTACTGTACTATACATGGAAAATGAAAGAGTTGGATTTTTTTTAATTATTTAAGGGCCAGTAAAAATGATAGGGGCTGGTAAATTCTAAATTTTATAATCCCTGCGGGTGTTTCAATAAAAATGGTAAATTTGCATCCTTGATGATTATAAGAACAGTACAGTATAGCAATGTATCCTGTGATGTAACCGATTTTATGTGACATACAGTATACAGCTTTTAATATTAGCTTTAAGATGCTTTATTTCATGTATTTTAGGTCTGGTGGTGATATCAATATGTCACTAAATAAATATGTTGCTCTATAACCATACATTCTTATTGTTATATTCCATAGACTGTGTACAAGCATATACAGTATTTGAATAAAAAAACAAGTGGTACAGCACCAAGTAGGAATTAGGTAACAGAAACAAGAAAACTTCAGGGTTTTGTGATTACCTTATTCATCTCTGTAGGGTGAATAATTGTACTCCCTGAGATGAGATTCATTAAGAAAGTTGTTGGACCATTTCATGCTTCTGTTTCCTAATGATTTTCGGCATACAGTATATATTTATAGCAGTAGCTATTTATGTGTTTGAACATGTACCTCTTACTAAGTCAACATCAATAAATTCAGTCTTGGGTTTGGCAGTCTTGCGTGGAGTGTATGAGAGGCCCTGCAGTATTCTCTGCTCCACAGTTGTTTCCCATGATTGTTTGTCATAAAGGCTAATCCGTCCCTGGTACCAGCCAAGGGCAGTTTCTAATACCATCCTAAGAGGGGAAAAAATTTACAGTATTACCAATACATGCAAAATGCAGTACTCTAAAATTTAATTGTGATATAAAAATAAATTTTAACTGAGCAAATATACAGCACATGTGTATTGTAGTGTCTTAAAAAAAATTCTAAAACATTTCAACAACCATTCCTGTGGATTTACTAAACTATCTGAATACAGAACATAAACTGAATGGTGTAAGGTCTTAATGTACATCTGTAATGGAAAATGCTAATGTTGGAAATAATTTTGAAAGGTGTCAATATGAAAAGCCTTTCTGAAAAGCTTCAGTAAAATTAAGCCAGTACAGTACTGTACTCAATGTACTGTACTGTAATTTCAGAGATGATGTTTATTTTTTATATTTTAATAATGGTAAATATCTTCAGTAAGTAGTTTACTTTAATATCATATACAATTTGAAAGAGGACCACCCAAGAAACATTTCTGAAGTTTCAAAAACAATTAGCAAGTATATTTCATGAAGACTTAAATATTTAAAATTTCAAAATAATGATCGACTAGTTGATTATGCCAATAGTCCATCCACATGAATGAAAGTCTCAAAAGCTTATTTCTATTGCAAAAAAATTGCATGTCAAGATTTTCATATAAAAGGGCATCAAGCATCACAATAAACCTCCTCACTAAAGCTCCCCTTGTGCTTTCCCTCATCATGGAATTTACACATTTGTCACCTTTTATTGCAGAAGTCTGTCCTCTGCCCCCCCCTCCCCTGCCTCCTAGTAGTTGCTCTGCTCCTACACCCTCACTTAAACACTCCAACAAGGCAAAACAAAGTTATTCAACTCCTTCACAATGGGAATGCCACTTTTAATATTTTATTTGGCTAACACCTGAGTTTATTCAGAGCTCAGAGGTGACACCGTAAAGAACAGGTTAAAGGATTTTTGCTTAAAATTTTCACCTTCTGCAGAAATATCTTTAATTATATGTGAATAAAATATGTTTCCAAGTTTTTTCTCACGATTTTTATGCACACAATGTTAGCCAGGTTTCCCCAGTCATAGTTTAAGGGTGAAACAACATTAGAGCATAAACTAATGAGTCTCAATTTCAAAATAAATTAAAAATGACATCAAAACTAAGTTTTTCTTCAATATTATTACAGTACAAATACAAACTCCAGAATCTAACATACTTTGTCCTAAAAGATCTGGCTGAACTGTAAGCAGACCCCTTGCCTGCAGAATCCAGAGGGGCAGCCCACACTGTCCTTCAAAAGCTGTCCTGTCACTTTGTAAGTTTGTATTTATTAGTCTCATAGAGTAGTCCACTCAAGTGTCCACATGCTTGCCAGTGATCGATCCTCAGAACAGATAACCAGCTGATAACCACATTTTTCTATAAAGTGATAGATATCAATGAAAACAGATGCTTTATCAACCCCCCGGGAAAAATCAAGGAGAAAATGCTAGAATTTATCTCTTTCAATGCCACAGATTCAAAGGCGTAAGCATACATCCCAAGGGGCCAGAAGCCCTCCATGTTTTTCTTTGAGGGGTTAGAGTATCTCAGGACCCCCCCCCCACAAACACTTTTTCAGTTAAAGGCCAAACGGGGGCTTGTTTTTTCCTGAAATTAATAATTAATTATTTACTTAAATTCACTTTGCATTTATTTTACCAGCAAAATTACCAAAAATGATAAATGATGATTTGGAGTAATTTTGTACTGTACATATAAAAGAAATAATCATATTAAATTCTTGCATTTCTGCCAACATGGCAACTCTACCTCCACCAATCTAGATTAGATATTGTACAGTATACAATAATCTTGAATCACCTTCAGATAGTTGGTTATCCAATCTCCAGATGCCACCAATACTTGTTTTTCGAGTAGTAGGTACCACACTCCCTTCTGTACCCTCCCACCTGGGCAGGAAAATTGTCAAATTTTTCATTTTTTTTCAGGGGATAATTATGCCCCTGGTCCCCCTAGAGTATGTGTGATTATAATAAGAGTGTAAGAAGTCTTAAATAATTCCCTGTATGTTGGCCTGGCGAATTGGCTAGGAATTAACATACCTAGGTAGCATTTGCTGACATTGCATTCAGAGCTTGAACAAAAAAAACAATTCTTGTAATTTAAATACAGTTTCTTCAATGTAAGGGAGAAGTTTTTTCAATACATAATTTCTGTAGTCGATATTAGGTACAGGTATATAGTTTACGTGCAGAACTCATAATAAGTATTATCAGATTTACTTCTGGCTTGATACTTATTTATTTACAGAAAATATATAGGTGTAGCAGCAAAGTATTGGGGTCAGCCGGACAACCAAAAAAATTTTTTTTAAGGGGGAGATGTTATTAACAATATACTGTATACTGGAAAAGGTAATTTATAAGGACACCGCTACCACCAGGAGTTGTTAAATTTTGTTAATTTTTCACACATGTTCTGTTTATTATAGTAAGTATTTAAAAGAGTCAACAACTTTTTATTTTAATTATAGATATCTGTTTAATTTTTTAGTTATCTCTATCTATAATCATAAATCACCTGTAGTGAGCAGGGCATGAAGGACGAGGGAAATTGCGGGGTAAAAAGAGGTGAAAACCTGGTCATATGATACTAAAATGACGTCTCTACATGCTTTGCATGTGAAGAAATTAATTATTTACCATAAATACTCCCTAAAAAATTCTGCCGAGTCACAATGTGTCATCTGTTTGTTTACACCGACCCGCTCAGTTCAAGCAAACTCTCATGCCCACTGAAAATTTTAAATTACAACATATGTTTCAACAAAGTTGCTTTCATTGGTACCTGATATCGAAAAAAGTACTTTATGTTTAATATGGTGTGTGGTCTGGGGGGTTAGGAAGTTAGGTAAGGTTTGGTAGGTTTCTTTGGTAGGTTAGGTCAGGTTCTAGTAAATGTTGTCTCTTTAAAATACCTATACTTCCTATAATGATAAGAACAACAGTGGAAAAAATTAACAAAATCAAACAACTCTTTCACGTGGTAGCGATGTTCTCACATATTACCAAAAATAGATTATTGATTAGTTTTAAAAAGAAAACGCTTTAATAGTTTGAGAGATTAGTAGATTATACCAAGGAAATAGCTCTTGGTAAAATTTTAGTTTCAGTCATCCCTATGTTTTTCCGATGGTTTTAGACATGTTTTGAATGATTTTTATCTCACCTAATCAACTTAACCTAACCTAACCTAGCCACATAAGCCAGGAATTATATTTAACCTAACCTAATGTAGCCACAGAAGCCAGGAACTATATTTAACCTAACCTAAATTCCTAAGATACCCCGGATGACCGAAACTAAAATAATATCCAGCTCATTATATTTAGTAAAGAACAAGTATACCATAACCTCTGCATAAAATAAAAGATCTTTGTAAGTAATAGACTGATTTGATCCCAGTGAGCCACAAGAAGCAACAAATAATGTAAACCCAACTGAAGAATGTCAGGGTAGTTAATGGTTATTTTGTACACAAACTACAAAGGCCTAACTCTCTTTAATAAAAATAAGTGGGAACATAATGTAGGTAGGGAGGCATGGAGTCTTAAATACACAAACTCACTGATCATAGTTAACAAGCAGTACTCAGGCCAAAGGTCAACAGGTCCAAAGCAAAACCACTTAAATAACATCTTCCTCGCATGTTAACTACTGAATTAGTGTTAGTATATCCTTCATTTAACATTTACACTGTGTAACTACAAACTAGACTAACTATTATTATTTAGTACCAAAATTATCACTCTAATCACCTACTAAATCTCTCACCATAAATATCTTATAAGTGCCTTCATAAATCCCTCTTGAAGTTACTTGGCCGACATATTACCTGCTCCAGTATTAAGACAAGAGGATTAATGTGAGGAAGTGAGGAGTCTTTATAAGGAGGCCAGAAGCAACATCTCCTCCCTCAAGGTTCAAACAGCTGTGACCTCAAGTGACCAACTCACCGCCGGGTTAAACTAATTTTTACCTTCTCAACAATAACAAAGTAATTAAATCACATATCTTAGATTATTTATATATTTTTATATTTTTTTGTAGATAATGACTATGTTCTTGTGTCAGCTAAGATGATTTTTTTTAATTGTTGGAGAAAAAGAACTTAATAGATATACAAGAATATCCTTCCTTTAGTTAATTTTAAGGGTTAACATTCTCAATTCTGATTTTTAAAGACAATTCAGCATTGATTAAAAGTTTTCATATGAGATATAAGATATTGATAATTTATAAACAGTAAACCTTTCAAAGATTATTTTATACCAGCGACATTGTTTGTTATGGTTGGGGGCAGGTGTGAGGGTGACTGACACTACCAGTGACTGTAGAGGTTATTGGTTGGGGAGAAATATAGAAATACAGGTAATACTGGGAGATAAATGATGTCTTATACCAGGAAGATTAAAAAAATGGGGTCCGAGTAATTACCCAAATGTAGCCAAATGAAGTCAAATAATGGTCCTAGATGAATAAATCGGACTGCTAATCACTTCTCGACTAGTATTTGGTGTCACAGTCACAAAAAATTGGAAAATTTACTTTAATCTGAGTTAATAGATCGAGTGCATGTACCTAACCTAACCTAACCGTACCTAACCTAACACAACACAACTCAGATTTAATTAAATTTACCAATTTTTTGTGACTTTGACACCAAATAATAATCGAGAAGTGATAATCAGTCCGATTTACGCTTGTACGACCATCATTTGACTTCATTGTGGCTACATTTGGGTAATTAGTCAGACCGAAAAAAAAGGGAAGGAGTAAGTTGTGTAATAGTCCACACGAATTACACTAATTAACTACCTTCTGTACTATATAAAATGGTGGGGCGGGATATTTTCTTGCCCAATGAGAATGTTGAAAAGTGCTTGAGCAATATGTTGTTTTATGTAAATTTAACAATTACTTCTGGTTTCTGGTAATGGAGGCGGCCCCTAACATCGCCAGACAATATTGTTTGGTAATAGTGGATCAGACGTTTAGCACCTTAAAGGCCGATTCACACGACCCATTTCTGCTCCGACCATCAGGCCGTCGGCTAGACGCCGTCAACATTTCTTAAGTGCATTTTAATGTAACTGTTCACACGACCCGTCATGCACTGAATGACGGTATTGGACGGACCGGGAACGTGTCGCGTGAATACACAACAGTCTGACGGCGCCAAGCCGACAGCCTGATGGTCGGAACAGAAATGGGTCTTGTGAATCTGCCTTAAGGCGTTTATATTTTCCACAGTTGTTGTTTGGATGATGGTAACTAATAAAAATTATATGACATCCTTTTCCTTTAGTTTTAAGAATTTTTTTAAAATTGTTTTTCTCTTATCCACAATCATAAATAACTTGTAATGGGCAGAGCATGAAAGATGCAGGAAATTACAGGATAAAACTAATCATATGGCAGTAATTTGATGTCTCTATATGCTTTATATGTGAAGAAATTAACTATTTACTGTAAATATTCTGCTGATAATTCTCCCGTGGCATTGCTTGTTTACATCTGCTGTTAAACTAATAAATTTTGTTAACTTATAATAAACAACGGAGTGTCATGTCGAGGTTTTTTAGCATAAATATTGCATTCATTGTCTTTTGTTTTCATTTCCATAGGCTTCACTTTCCTGATAAAGTGTTTGTGGTTCTAACCAGCGCAAATTCCTTTTATTTTTTCATGCAATTCGTTCTTGAACTTATTGTATGTGTAAAGAATGAGATTCATATAGTAGTTGGATTCAAATCCCATAAGTACTGTACAATATATAATTTTGCCTGAAAAATCTTGTTTCTTATTTCTTTTTCAGCTTTGAGAACATACAGAAAAATGCCAACTGTGATTATTTTGGATGTGTCATTGTCCATGAGTCGTGGAGTGGACATAGCCAGCCCTTGCCAAGAGGATGAAGATGTAGAGAGCCTATTGTTACGGAAGGACCTCGCTGCTCATGGCTGTAACATTCTTCTTGATCATTTCATCCAACATTGCAAGTTAGAGTTTGCTTCTCTGGTAAGGAAGCATATTTGATGAATTTTGATACAATGTATTCATGATTTAATATGGAACATATACAGTAAGTCCTTGCTTAACGTCGTGGTTACATTCCTGAAAACTGTGACGTTGACGGAAACCACGTTGATGGAATCAATTTTCTCCATAATAAATAAATCAAATACGGGAGTTATGTTCCCCAGCCTCCCTTTGCCCCATAAGATACATTACATATACATAAATTCAATGGAATTTTGAAAGAAAATAGTACAGCTACTCCTCGACTTACGACATACTCGACCTACGACCACCCGGACATACGACCGCTTCAGTCGGACCAAAATTTTGTCAAATTATGTATTTTCGAGTCCCAACGTTAGTGATTGCGCAAGGTACTGACAAAATTTTCGTTTGTAATTCACTTTAAAATGGCTGGTAAGCTTAAAAGTGAGAGTTTTGTGGTGCTGAGAAGAAAAAAAAAGACACCCATTTTAGAATTTCTATGTATTATTTAAGCATTTTCGACTTACGACCTGGATTTGGGTCCCCAACCCTGTCGTAAGTCGAGGAGCAGTTGTACTGTATATATTATACAGTACTGTACATGCAAAAAGATAAATAAACTAATATATTTTGTATTGTACTCACTGGTGGGCGGAGATGGAGTGAGCGTGTGGTGGGTAGTGGAGAGGAGGGCAGGAGAGTGGCTCCTCCTCCCACTCTAACTGGGTGAGAGAGGGTAATGCACCGTACAAAGTAGTCCGTGACGACGTTATACCGAATCGGTGGGACGTTGTCCGAATCATGGGTATTTAAATAGTGACGTTATAATGAAACAATGTTGTCGGGAGCAACGTTAAAAGAGGAATTACTGTACTGTATATTACAAAATGCTATTGTTACAATTACCTTGATCCAGTCAGTATTTTTGTTTGTGTGAGGGTTGCTGCTGCATTATGTCTAAATTACAGTACATCAGTGATGAAGTGAATGAGCAGTTTTTGCAATTGCTGTGTATGCTCTTATTAATATTCAAGATTATAGTAAATTAAAGTAAAAACATGCTGAAGAGTGGGAACACAAGATGACATGATGATCAAAGAAATAATACAGTACTGTACAGTCATTCGTTTAATCCATACCACAAAAAATGTATTGTGCTGCTTTACTCTGCACAGATTGTCTTCTCATCTGTCCACAAAGTTCTGATGCCATTCACAAGAGATTTTGAAGCCATCAAGAATTCTCTGAATTTAGTTGAAGAATGTGATAAGACCAGTATTGAGGTGGGGCTGATGGGAGCAGCACAACATATTCTGGAGGAGTGGGGAAATGGAACACCTTGTCAGGTAATGTCAGAAGTTTTGAGTTGTAACTTGATGCATGACTGTTTGCACTCTGGATAATAATTCTTGCCATAAGATTTTTTTACACACTTTACCGCAAATGTTCTGTAAACTACTTCATATTTTGTTAGTCTGTGTTTGACATATACAGTAATGTACAACCATATTATTTTTTGCAAATCACTGTAAATCAGAGTCATACCACCGAGTATGTGATAGAGGATTTGTTTTGTAATAATAAGTTGTCAGATTCTTCATATATCTTACTAAAAATTTATAAACATTTGGTTTTACATTACTGTATAACTTAGATATTAGTGAATAAATTATTATCATAATTTTCAGATTGTTTTAGTGACTGATGGCAATGCAGGTACTGGACAACACACACTCCAGAAGGCAATGATGTCGTCTCACTCACGAGGAGCATCACAGTTTCCATTACCATTTCCTTTTCCTGCGAAGCTCAACATTGTTTGTATCACAAACCCAAATGAGCCATGTCTTCAGGTATAGTAATCCAGGCCTATGGTATGTCTGTGATGCTTCGTTCCCTGTGTGAGTGGAGGGGTGACCTAGTTTGTAAAATATTTCCAGAAACATTTGATCCACAGACAATCATTATTTAGAAGCAACTCTTTATATTCAACATGTTATTTCACGATCTAATAATGTAGCTGCTGTATATGAACAAGTTGATGACTCAGTATTTTTTGTGTACTGTACATCAAATTGAAATGAAGGGTTGTGGAGGCTAGTGATTCATTTTGTATACCTGATCCTGAATATATACATGTTGAGGATATTATCTAACACTTTATTAGCAACTTCTGTTGTGATGCACCACTTACCCTATTATTTCTTCCCTTACTCTGAATCTTCTATTCTCCTCGATCCTTACCACACAAATGTAGGAGAGTAGCAAAGATATGTAATACTGGACAGGTAGATAGGTCTATGCTTGCTTCTACAGGCTAGATTCACTTGTTCATACATAAATCCAGAACAGAATATGTGTGTACTGTACTAGCCGGTTTTATTTCACGTTATTGAGAGAAACTTGTCAATACTGTAGTATATGTAGAGTATAGGACTAGTATTGCAATACTGAACAGTACTGTACTGCCAGAGTACAGTACTGCATGGTATACATACTTGATATGAAATATATACTGATCACATTTTTCATTTACCCAAAAGAAGGAATCAGAATAGGATACAGACTGTGTAGTGTACTGCATGTGAAAGATACTACACATAATACTTAATATTTCCATTTCTTCAGAGTCCTGAAATTAATATTCTTTTTGAATTTCTGTTTCAGATATCAAAGCCATTGTATCAGAGATTAATAGAACTGAATGGTGAGGGAGATATTTTAGTTCCTGAGGGAGGTCTCAACAAGAAGGTAAGTAAATTGGACAGTAGTTGTACATTGATAATACTGTATAGTAAAAGCTTCATTTGAGGAATACTATACAGGTACAGTAAAGCCTTCGATAACAATGGTTCAACCAACGAAGATTCATGTCTAAGACCCTGGTTAATTTAGGACCCAATTCAATTTATGCCATTATTTTCTTCGTATTTATGACAAAAATAAAAAAACACGCCTTGCGCACGGAGGCAGCCGGGCTTGTTAGTGGTGACGCCAGCATCACTAGTATAAACAATCGCAGCTGGTGGGCCCTTTGTTTTCACACATCTGAACAGGAAAAAGAGAAAAACTTTCTCAGGTTTCTTACAGCATTTTTGCTTCCCTATTAAACATGAGCAAGAGAGCAGTGAGAGTAGTGCTGGCTCAAAAGTAAAAAGTGTTTAAGCTTAGCCAAGAAACTAGATGTGTTTAAACGATATGAAAAAGGTGAGAGGTATGTGGATATTATATGGAGCAAGCAATGAACATATTTTCTGAAGTGGATCCATTAACAGAACAAAGCATTAAAATTTAAATAAACACAAATGACCTCTACATAAAGATGTATAATGAGAAAAGAAAGCAGCTGTGCAAGGTTCTTTCGACAGCTTTATTATTTGAAGGCCTAAACCAACAACTTCAGCTAGAACATCAAATTCATCATCATAAGCAGCTTCAACAACAACTTCAGTAACAGTTTTATGGAAAGCTAAAGCTTCAGCCGGAGTTGAACCTGATGACGAAGTAAAAACTCACACATCATCATTGGCTGTCCTTATGTTTAAGACTTTACCACTATTGGTGAGTAGAATGTTTGTTTTACATTCGTAAGTATTATTTAAAACATATATGAACAGTAAATAAGTGTTGCTTTCATATTCATATGTCGAGAAATGACGATATGTTTTCACACGTACTCACTTACTGTACATACGTTGGCGTTCCCAATAGTTTCGCTTTATTTCTTTACCATTACTGGTTAGCTACTTCTAGTGTTCCATTTATTAACATTACTTAAAACATACATACAGGTATTAAATTTTTTTTTTACATTAAGTTCACTACAGCTACAACCAGGGTCTTATTTTCTTCAGTTTCTTATGTAGAACCATCGTCACTCACGAAAACAATGCCGTCCTGTCTCTTCGTGTGTGTTTTAATATTCTACGTATTATTAATGAATTGCATTGTTCATTTCACATAAACTGTACAGTATAAACATTAATTCAATCAAATACATATTCAGTAATAAACAATTATGAATCTTTTGTACATATTCTTAAGATAAATGACTATGTTTCCTTGAGTGCGCACGTACTGTATACATCGGCGTCCCACTATCAATCTCACTTTTTTTTATGTAATATCAGTGGGTACTTCAACTGTACATTAAATAACATTAATTAAAACATACATATTTTTTACATTATTTTTACTACAACATCAACCAAGGTCTTATTTTCTTCAGTTTCAGGTGAATAACTGACATTATGGGTGTAAACAGTGACAACAATGCCGTCCCTTATCCTCTCGTGTGTTTTAATATTCTACGTATTATTAATGAATTGTATTGTTCATTTCGCATACAGTATATAAAGATTAATTCAATCAAATACATATTCGGTAATAAACAATAATGAATCTTTTGTACATATTCTTAAAAAAAGATAAATGACGCGGTATCCTTAAATGCGGACGTATATGTTGACATTCCCAATCAATCTCACTTTTTTTTTCTTTGCCATTAGTGGTTAGCTACTTCTACTTTTACATTTATTAACATTACTTAAAACATATATATTCATTTTTTTACATTAATTTTACTACAGCTACAACCAGGGTCTTATTTTCTCATGTAGAACTATTGTCCCGGACTCCCGGCTGTAAACACTAACGAAACAATGGCGTTCCATCTCCTCTTGTGTGACCATATTATTATTCATTTATAGTATTGTATAAGGTGCATCCAGAAACATTATTTGAAGAATAGAGTTTGCAATTTTCATTAATTGTATTGTTTTGGGGGGAAAAGAGGGTAAAAAGCCACACTAAAGATATGAAAAGGTCACACTTGGGAACGCATCTCATTATTATCGCTTTATTTTAATGGTAATTAATGATTTGCGATACGATGATTCACCTTACACTGCAATATTGGAGGACACATTACCGTCATTATTCGAGGCTTTACTGTACTGTACTAACTCTCATAATAGTGTAGGTTAGGAACATGGCCAATTTATGCCCGTGAAGACATCTATTTTAGAAAAAATATATGATCTTCGGATCATGACATATCTGATATAATGTTTACTTCTCTGCCCTCACATGTAAACTCACACATTTCAACTCAGTGCCTGCAAACTTTTCAGTGTTTTCATATATAAGTTTATACAGTACAAGTGAACACAGGAATTTCCTGTACTTGAACACTTGATTGGTAGATGACCATCACTACACTTAGATGTTTAAAGATTTTAAGACATATGTAATTATTTTGATTAACTGTACAGGGAGGTGACATAATATTCATGATCTTTTTTGCATCATATATTTTTTTCTTTCTTTCAACAGACTGTGACAGAGATGTTTGAACAACTGATAAAGAATAACTTCTCTTCTTACTCTGGCACCCTCCACTGTGGCAATTTGTCAGCCCCCATCACTTTATCACCTCCACCTCAGGTAAGTTCCTCATTTCAAATTATTATTGCAGTGGTTTGGCTATCCCCCTTAGTAAATGTTTAGTATCTACATTGCAATGATATAAACCTTTTTCTTCTGTGATCACTGATCAAGTTAATTTGAAAAATTTTATATACAGTAATCATTCGGTGGAAATTTATGTTTGTATTGAGCAAATTATTACTTAAAAAAGTCTAAATAAACTGCAGCCTTGAGTAGCCATTTTGTTTTTGTAAAACCAAATTCAAAACTGCAGATGGAGTTACTGTATTTCTAAAATGTTCAGATGATGTTATACAATAAAGCCTCAATTTATGTGGTATTGTTTTTGCACAGTTAACTTATGCATGTTAAGATAATTGTGACCTTTTATTTTGTACATGGTATAGATTGACTTATACATAGGTCAGCTCAGTGGCCAAATGGGCCTAGAATGTTTGATTCCTGGCAAATGTCTGGTAAATATCTACCCGAAATTATGAGCTGAAAAATAATCGTAACAAAGCTCACAGCATCCCAGTAGGGAGAGAGCTACAAAGATGAGTCTTAACTTGACAACACACCACGTGCAATGTAAACAGATACAATTAAAACTTTGTTTTTGATTATAATAAGCACAGAAACATTGCCACACACACTAGCCTGCACTATACTACTGTACACTGCATAGTATCCAAGTTCAGCATAGGATGCTCTCATAGCATCTTCCAATGCTCCAAAAAATATTTGTTATTTTTTTATCTAAGCATGGTTTGCATTCATATATCAGTGCTGGAATTTTTTTGTTGTTCTTATTAGAGAATTTTCTTAAAACGATTCAACATAATTCAAAGCACTCCTGTATTGTATGTTCCAATGCAATATTTTTCTCCATACTCAAGAATATTATTACCTATTCCTTGTTTATTTTTGTGTTTATTTTTTTGGGGGGGTTAGCCTTACTGCCGTCACCACGACTTTGAAGTGATGCGCGTAAGTGTGGACTCTGCCATCCAGGTCTTAGGTTTCCTCAACACTGGAGATGTGTCCTCACCGCCTGCTTTCTCCAGGCATCTGGTTCTTCCACTCTCTGCAAAGGGTTCGTTTATTTGAATTCTATAGTTATTTATTTTATCGGTCAAACATCCTGTTGTAAGAAATTAAGATATGCATATTATAAGGGTAAGACTGGTTTAAAAGGCTCCAGTTAGTGAAACTTGACTGAGTATTCCACATCTGTAATAATGCAGATTCTTTTAGCTAGTCTAATGTTCATCACGTATTATGGATATTTGTTTTATTTTTTAATCCTCTCGCCTATCGATGCAGCTCTTTTAAAAACTGTACATTCATTTGCACCTTTCCTTGACCATTTTAGTTATGTGAGTTTATGGCATTATATGGCATCTGTTCTTCTGTCCATTTCTAATGTCTATACCAAGATGTGTGTGAGTATGGATGTAATGGATATCTGGTGCTAGTTTTTATATTATACAGTACTGTACAGAGATGTATAATGAGGGTGGTGTTTGGAGAGTGCTTTTGTTTCCTCACCTTTTTCCCACAAAACTATACCTGTTTGGAGAAACAAAGTATTATGCAAGTACAGATATAAATATGAGTAAATTATATCTCTTTCAGTTTAGTGAAACTTACAAATTGTATTTTGCTCACCTTCTCCCCTTTTCAGGTGACATGGTCATGTTGCCAAAAGCGGATCCAGGGAGTGATGACGAGAGTAGTGGTAACGATGAAGGGAAAATACCTTCATTTTGTGTGTTGCTTCATGGTGGACTAAAGGTAAGTTTTTTATCATTATTATCACATATTGTACCCTCTGTAGATGAAGTAAACCCTTTTGTAATCTGGCTAAGTTTTTCACCCACATACAATACACCTGTAACAAATTAAGTTTTACATCCAATGTAATTCCTGTATGATCTGTTTTAGTAATGCCACTGTCACTTGCATTTGACCCCTTTTGTACAGTAAAAGTGGCTTCCCCATAATAAAGTTAATGGCTTCTCCTCAGACACCTTGAACAAGGGTGATACACTATACTGTGCAGTCCTGAGTATAACATGGTATAATATGTGTGAAAACTGAAAAAGCGTATTGTACAGTAGTGCCTCGACAACCGTGGGGGCTAGATTCCTGAAAAACATTGTGGTTGGCAAATCCGCAGTTAGCAAGATTAAAGGCTAATAGGAAATGGGAGTTAGGTTCCATAGCTGCAGATAACACTCATCAAAGTCTAAGTTGCCTGTTCCTTCAATAAAAAATGCCTGTATTGTACATTTAATTAAATTTGAGTCAAATACATATATTGTACATATAAAAATAGCTTAATATAAATTATATACAGTAATAAAATTTTTACTGTATGTCTCCATGGAGATGAAATGTTGCTATAAAATAATTAAAGTGAAGACCATGGGTGTGAAGTGAAAGTATGTGTGGACTTCGTATGTTGCTAAATTAGACTGTCCCTGTAGCTACATCCCCCTAGCCCTCCACCTACCATGCCAAGCAAGCTGTGTTATAGTTATTTTTCAACTCTTAAATTTTTTTTGTACTCTTTTACATGCTCACACAATTGTTCATACAGAATGTGCCAAAAAAAAAATAATAATAATTATCATAAGGTCAAAAGCATAAGAGAATAAGCATTTCTTCGTGCGCAGGAGTTAGCACAAAGATTGGGAGAGGATGCTCCTGTCTCATATACAGGTATGGAGTGAAATGATTGTCAAATGGCAATGCATTATTTTTACACCCATTAAATTTATTCATATTATTTTTATTTATTCCTCACATTTACGGAGGATTGCATTAGACCGCAGAAGATAAAGACGCCTTGCTAATCCGCAGATACATAGAACTAAATGCAGCAGTTGCTGAAATTGTATACAGAATGTAAACCATGGGTACATGGAATCCATGGTTGGCGAGGGTCTACTGTACCGTAAATAAGCCAGGGGCAGATCCAAGAATATCAAAAGGAAGGATCCAAGAAGTTGTGGGCGGGGAAACATTAGGAGATATTCCGAGGTCAATAGTAATGACTATGTACTATACAGTCTCTCCTCGACTTACGACGGGGTTTTTTCCCCGACGATCAGGTCGTAAGTTGAGAAGGCGAAAATAATACATAGAAATTCTAAAATGGGTGTCTCTTTTTCTTCTCAGCACCACGAGAACTCTCACTTTTACGCTTGCCAGCCATTTTAAAGGGAATTACAAACGAAAAATTTTTCAGTACACAGAGCGATCACTAACATCAGGACTCGAAAATACGTAACGTGAAAAATATTTTATACGACCACGGCCGTCGTAAGTCGAGGAGTACCTGTAGAAAAATGCAGTACTGCATTAAAGAAAAATTACAGTACAGTATTGGAATTTTTTTTGAGAGAGAGGGGGTCCAAACCCCCAGCACCCCATCTGGTCTGCAAGCCTAGTCACTTACATGTTGAAATAAGCCAAGTCATCCACTTAGGTGGCAACAAAGGAACATTGCAAAAGGCAGTTTGAAATACATACAAGAACAAATCATATGATAAACCTATTATTTCTGCAAAATTTTTCATTCCATATTACTTGTCAAATTTTTGTGCTGTATTCCAGTATTAGTTGTCATGATTTACAAATTCACACAAACAAAATTTCTCAACCTGAATGTCTGTAATGCAGGTGGTTGCTATATATAATAATAAGTGTTCAGTTAATATGTACAGTCTCGTTCAAGATTCTTCGAACACTGCTGGATACAGCTGGTAACTCAAGGCCATTTGTTTACTATAGTACGTAGTAAAAATTATGAATGAATGTAAAAGATTATTGGTTACTTAGTTAATGGTTGGACTTTGTTGTTTCGTATTATATTATACTACATACTATAGTAAACAAATGGCCTTGAGTTACCAGCTGTATCCAGCAGTGTTCGAAGAATCTTGAACGAGACTGTACAGTAGCTATAACAACTATCGGTGCAGGTGGGGGTCGATATGCTCCGAAATTTTACATGTGACAGCCTTCATATACGAATATTTATCGTCCATGGTCTCATATTGTTTATCACAAAGTATGCACAGATAGTTGTTTTAGACACTGTACATCATGTATTGTTATCTTTTAAATATATTTTTTTCCTGTTAACAGCGTGAAAACATGGTGGCGTTATGTCAGGTTGGAGATAACTGGCATGGCATTCTGTATTCTTGGGCAGACAACAAGAAAAAATCTAATCTTATGTTATCTCTCTTTGTACCAGGTGAGTAAATCTGTATTGTGATGTACACACTATTCACACCTTTACACTGTCAGGTTCTTATTCAATTGGAAACGTTTGCTTACCCAGGCATATTCAGGCTCCATGCAGGAGTAGTATTGTGCTGGGAGCAATGACAGATGATGGTCACCTTTAGGCAAGCTCTTGACTAAATGCATTGGTGACTACGTAACTTTTTGTATTTTTTAAAACCATTAAAATTACTATTTTTATATATGTAATAGATGCATTTGCAGATAAGTTGAATGGTGTGGATCCTGAAGATGAGGTATACATAATACTGTACCAAGGTATATAGTGGGTGGAAACAAGGATGTACTTGGTGAGCAATGCTTGAGAAATTACCATGGAAATGTGGTGGTTCATTATGAGGAAATTATGGATGCTTAGAGAAAATGCTATGATGCTCTGTTGAATGAGGAGTTTGAATTGGACAAGGATAGCCTGGAAGCAGCAGAGCCAGTGCAATGACCTTGCTCAAGTGATTGAAAAATTAAGAATAGAAAGTCAGCTGGTAGCTCTAGCATAAGAAAATGTTGGCTTGATGGTGGTCAGATTGACAAAAGCCATTATAACAGTATGTTGCTCCAGCTGACTGGCTGAAGAGCTTGGTTGTGAATACTTACACTGGAAAAGTTGATGCACTTGAACATAGGAACTACAGGGGTCTGAAGCTGTTGATAAGTTTATGAAAATTATGGAGTGTGTGATTGAGTGGACATTAATGCAGATTGGGTTCATGCCAGGCAGGGGGAATACAGAAGCAATATTTATGGCAAGTTAACTACATGGTAAGAAATAACACTTATGAACACATATCTGTCGGAAACATGTTATACTGATCTTGTACACCTTTGTTTCTCATGGCGCTCCATTTTACAGGAATACATCTAGAGTGCTATAAGTGCTATGATTATATGAATATGTCTTTGACCTATAAAAGTTTGTATTTAATAAGTTTGAATAATTCTCAAATATCATGTAATTAATAGCTCCAAAATTAAATGTCTTGTGTCATGATTTCAGGTGTAGATGTCATTCCATGGATGGGGAAACTATCAAATCTTGGACCAGCTTCACAATTACCTATAAATCCTTATGGACCATCAGACACCTCTTCTCCATTCCCATTGAAGGTAACACTTTGAATCTTATTGCCACATAAACAAATCCTGTAGGGAGGCAGCTGCAACCCACAAATTATTTCTAGTCCTGCTAGTGTGTTCTGAGTCATGGCTGAGGGTAGACGTGCATTTAATCATCCCAGCCATGGTCTGATTGCCCAGGAAATCAAGGAGCTATTGCGGTTGTGAGGAAGATGACCCATATATGATAATACTGTAGCAGCAACAGAGATGTGGTGGAATTTGATGGAGTTGAACTGGAGAGTGATTATAAGTCAGCTGACTCACATGATGTGCATATATGCGAGTGAGTGTATGTGATGAAATAAGATGTACCATGTCCAGGCAGCACAGGCATCTGAATGCATTTGTGTATAGGCATGTGTATGTGGGTTTGTGTGTGTGTGTGTGTATTCAAATGTATGTACAGTACAGTTGTGTACATTTTGGATTGGGCTGGATTTTCTGCAATTATTAAATTTGGTTTATAGGATTTATAATCATATCATAGCAGTTTGACATGTGAGTGGTTTATGTGCTTGCCTCCTGTCTTAAGGGTTGCTGATTCAGTCCCAGGGCACCCAGTTGTACAGAGGTACCTTATTTTACAGTTGATAAGTTAAGAGTGTCAACCATGCTACATTTTTGTGTATGGAAAGTTTAGTGTAAGGTGCATTGTATCAACACACTCTTTCTAGTTGGCCATCAGGCTTATGGGACCCACTTTCAATCATAAACTTTATATTTTAGGTTCATGAAAAGAAGAGTTATGCTCTGAATTGTGTTGTATGGGTACGGCAAGGAGGACTCCAGTCAGATATTCAAAAGATCCTTCGCCATGCTCGTAAACTCCCAGATAAGACCCAGAGTTTTTACAAGGTGTGTTAAATATTAAATTCTTTAAGGTTAATGTAGCAATAACTAAAGAACAGCAAGACGTGTTATAAAATTTAATGTAAATATCTAAGCACAATATAGTACAATTATTATCTCAGATGGACTTTATAGTACTTTAATCTTGATAAACTTTACCAACAGGAACTGAATCGCGTGCGTAAAGCTGCACTCTCCTATGGTTTTGGAGAACTTCTGGAAGGCTTGGCAAATGTTTTAGAGCGAGAATGTACACTGCTACCATCTACAGCTCACCCAGATGCTGCTATTCAACTACAACATGCTTATGAAGCCTTGCGTAACCATGACAAAAAAGACATCAGACAGAATGTTGCACCACTCAAAACTACATTTTCAGGGAATGATTGATTGTGAATTATAATTTATCATTTAACAGTACAGTGGTCCGTGATTGATCTCGAAGTTAGATACCAAAAGGGAGTCAAGAATGTGTATTTGATCTAAGTCAACTTAAGGGAAATATGGGGGTAAGTTGGGTTGAGCTCCCAAAATTTTGTCACCCCTCATTGATGACTTTTTATCAGTATGTGTACATTTGTCTAATAATAAAGCCTTGAAAATACATGATACATATGGTATACCTGTCATTCACATTAAGTACAACAAATAACATTGGACATTGCTATCATCAGTCTTGGTCAGGCAATCCAACAATTCTATCTTTTTGGGTGGATGCTGGGGAAGGAGTTCCTCCACTGTTGCTTCTTATTTGAACTTACCAAAGTACAGTACTAGCTTTATGTTTCAACCCCCAAAAATTATGACATCTTGAAAGACATGGTGAGTGTTATTCAGTAAAATATATGGAAGGTGGGACCTCATCACTATAATGTACAGTTGGGGAAAAATATTTTGCTCTACATTGCTGTGGCCAGTGGAGACGTCTGGTAACTCTCGTCGTAACAAACAGAGCACGTAGCAAACCTTTACCAAGTTAGAACCGTTAAAGCAACTGGTTTCATCCAAATGTCACCCTCACTATGGTTCATTAAAGCTAGTTCATTCATAAAGGTTTGCTACGACAAGAGAGTTGTCGGATGTGTCCACTGGCTACAGCAATGTGGGGCAGAATATTTTCCCCAACTGTACATGAAAAAATGGCAATGCACTTTTATTTGAAAGAGTACACAAATAATTGTCACTAGAGTGCATTAATCTTGATGCTCTTAATACCTTGAGGGAAAATACTGCAAATGGTTACAGGAAGAGTTTTCTCGCAAACACTTGGTGAAGTTGCACACGAGAATGGCAATAGAAATCGAGTTGGATCTGAAATATGGTCTTGGGGTCAGAATGGTTTGATTTATCATCATGAGAATTTTTAATCATTTGGGGGACCACTGTACTGAATTAAATTATAACACAACCTATGAAACTTTAAATTGTCCTATTTAACATGAACATTATAGTACATTATTATAATGTGTTAACTGTTTGTCATGAAGTTTCACAACATCATTTAGACCCCCATTCATGTTTCACAACATCATTTAGACCCTCACTCAAGTTTCACAACATCATTTAGACCCCATTCATGTTTCACAACATCATTTAGACCCTCTTTCATATATGTATTCTGTCTCTTGCCAATATACTGACAAAGTCTCAAATGACTAAACTGAATATATTTGTACATGTAATGAATATTTTTTTCATAATGCAAACAGTTATTAATTATGAGTTTCCATTAATATCCTTTTACAAATTATAAAGCCAAGTAATCTCTTCAAACCTATTGTGGGATATACACTGTAGGTTTAAAATGTAAGACACCAACCTAATACACTTTAAAACATAAAATATATACAGATCGAGGATCCTTTATCCCAAATTCCCCCCAAAATATTTTTTTTAATGGGCCTTATTATGTGGGCATGAAGGCATGTTTTACAATTATGCAATGGGCTCAGCCAAACTTCCATGTACAGTATATATTAAACCCACAACTTAATCAAAGACAGCACTCTAACACACAACTGCTACAATAGCATAGGTAATGTAGGTAAAGTCTGCATAGCAGCTGGTTGGGTCAGGCAGCTGACTTGATTGCTGCTATCATTTTTTTTTTTGCCTTTTCATCTAATAAATCCAGATGTGGATGGCATCTGGTACTTTAAAGCAAAGAAAGTTTCAATCTTTACATTAAAACTCATCCAAACTTGACAAGACCATATTGTACTAGAAAATATCTTGGGATTCAACTCGGCAAATTCAATGTTTCCATCCCTCATAGTAGGCAAAGGGTATTGCTATAATTATACTGTACAGTACTAACATTCACCCCAGTCACTCCACGGGTGGAAATCTGATCCAAAGGTACGAGAACCAGTATGTTCTAGGCTGCCAGCTGTCCGTAATGCATATACAGAATTAACAATTTGTAGCTTTGATGCCAAATGTAACAGGGCAAGCTGGAAACATAAATCAGAACAGATTTGTCATGTTTGAATATGATGCCACAGGTTGTACAATGGAATAAGCACCTATCAAGTAAGGGTCATATGTTTCTTCTGCATGAGAAATGAGTTCATACTTCTTTTAAATACAGGTATTGCTTGTTTAATGATGGGGTTGTGTTCCTGAAATAACCTAACATTAAGTGAAATTATGGCTAAACGAAGAGTAACACGAGAATCAGTCTTCGAGGAATTTTTTCATTTAAATAACTGTATTTAATGATAATTTGCTATAATGATAATAAACTACAGTACACTACAGTAAAGTAACACTCACCAAGTCCATGTCAGATGCAAAGTCGGCATCATGTGTCTCTTCTATTGCTAGGACAGACATGTCACTCACTCTGCATTGGAAAATTAGGCTGGAGGCAATGTAGCTTGACCCTTCACCGCTTTTGTGACGCCGTATGTCAAGCTTCACCTCCAAATTCAAGGACTTGCGGGAGAGCTTGGCCTTGCCTGATCAGGGAGGCAATACAGCATCATGCTTACCCAACACTTTTTCAGAGTTCACCCGTAACCTGAATACCTGTACAGTGCTGTGCTTGAAATGAAGGGGGTGATTACACAAAATATAAAGCACAGTATAATTATTTATTAAATTTAAGTTGTACTATACATTTACAGATTTGTTCATGTTATATAAGTCTTTAAAAAATTGCAGGCACCACACATCTACTAATAATAAATTAGTTTTGAAAAAATAAAGGGCAAATCCTCTATGAAAATGATAAACAAACGGCAAACTCTACCATGAAAGTATACACTTGCTTTGCACTAAGGCATATTTTGTCAATTGCAACACAATTTTGGCTATTTTATCTTTTGCGTTATGTGATAATTTATCTTAACCAGGGACCCAGATATTTTTTTTTTTTTTACAAAACCTAAATTACTACAATTTACCAAATGCTCGATATCAAAGCAGCACTTGTCTGAACACTTAATAGTAGTTTCTTTACGACTGTTGAAAACATGCATGCTCATGTAGCAGTCAGTACTTTCAATCTTGATGGTTCAACCAGTCTGTTCTTAATACTGTACTGTACAGTTAGTTGCCCACATGTACTGTATAGTGTTCCACCTCTTGATGGCCTTTCCAAACATGTCAGAATCATTTTATGAATGAATCGGTAACATGAGGAGAGGAGTTGCCAATGACTATACAGTACATGTGGTCAACTGTACATTCACACCACTGCACAAATCCCTGCATTCCTGTTTATCACTTTACACATATCACAAGCACTTTTTCTCTCTTTGAACCCAGACATTCCACACTCTCACACTGCCGAAGAATAATGTTTGAAATGCTTGAGCTCATAAAAATGCATCTTACTCATTTTCAGAGACTTGTTACTTTATATTACATTCAGCTATTCTCATTCCTGTTTCTCTACAGAGCATAACCTCCTGTTAATGTTAAGTAGATCTGTCCCACAAACTGACAGGTTTTCAATTCACACAATGTCCATAAATGAGAACCATCCAACAGCAAAATCCAGTGTTGCTTCTTTTTTATTATCCAATTTTTTGCATGGTAGCAACAGGTGTCTGGAAGTTTTATAATAATAATGTCTGCTCAAATGGGACCCATGAAGAACAAAAACTTGTTATGTGAGATGTATTTTTCATCATAAAAAGTTAATGCTCCACATGAGGAACCTATGCTGATGAAGTGAATTTGTTACACAATGCTTATGTTGAGAAGAAGCCTTGTCACAGTGTATTTTTAGTAACACAAAATTCCCACACTAGTCTTTACAAACAGGTGTTTTTGTGTGGGGTGCAAGTGAAAAATTTGCAAAACTGTTTGGATGATCAGCAAAGAGCATGTTCAGGAGTGTCAAAAACAGTGATGCATAAGAAAGGGTTGGCTGGATTGCTGATCCAGGGAATCTAATAGTTGCTTATACCACCTGACAACCAAAACGTACAATAAGGCAAGAAATATTTTAGACTGCACTTACTGTAGTCTTAATGCCAGCACAGGTATCAAGATCATAATTATATGTTCACGGTTTTCCTGTTAAAAATAAATGTCATTAAATACAACAATACAGGTTGACAACCCTTTATCCGAAAACCGAAAGTTTTTTTGTGGAGCAATTTTTATTTATTTATTTATTTATTTTTAAACAGGGATTAACCCACCCAGGCATAGATCACTGACCCACATCGGGGCCTGGGGGGCGAAAATGTAATAGTAATACTAATTATAATAATAATAATTATAGTAAATAAAATTTTTAATTAAAAAATACACCAAAATAAAATAATAATGATAATAATAAAATATAATAATAAAATTTATAATAATAATAATAATAACCATAATACTGTATTAATAAAATAATAATAAAGAAATACAAGAATGAAAAAAGATAAAAAGTGAGAAACACGACCGAGACCTATGAATTATTATTATTGTTATTATTATTATATTTTCGCCCCCTAGGCCCAAATGTGGATCAGTAACTTGTGCCCGGGTGAGCTATATATATATATAAAAAAAAAAAAAAAAACGAAAAATTACGAAATCCGAAATGCCTCTGGCCCCAAGGATTTCGGATAAGTGATTGTCAACCTGTATTCAACTTTGTCAATTGTCCTCTGATAAATTATATTTCTTTTTTACTGAAACATTTTCATTTGCAAAAACTCACACCATCAACAAGTTTTAAAGAACAAAGCTTACAAAAGTTCACCTCCACTACTTACATTTTTACTGCCATTCAGTCTCACAAACCCATATCTGATTCTCAATGGAATGAAACATGAGAGGACTTAAACACTGTAAAATGTAAGAATTTCTCGAGAATTTTTCTATTTCTATTTCTGAAACAACTTACTAGGGCAAAAATAAACCTATGCATTTCAAGCAGCCACTTCTTATCATACAGAAAATGTAACTCACAATGGTATATATTTACTCAACACTACAGTTTTTATACTAGACATTAGTCCAAAAAACTAAACAACTTTTTAGAGCCAGATTCAAGGCTATTAGCAACTACTGGTTTAATAACACAAAGTGAGTACTGTACTGTACAGTTACTGTACTGTATAAAATTTGAGGAATGGAAAGTCTTTGGTTCCCCTGAGCTGATGAGTAACTTAGAAATATACTTATTAAATTCAGATAATTTTTTTCTACTTCTGAAAACTTAATTTATCCCAATCCCTTTTTGAATTCTGGGAGTTTTGGCATCAGACAGTTCTAATTCATCAGCTTCACTTTCTTCTAGTCTTCTTTTGTTTGTGGGTAAACTTTGATCCTGGTGAATGAGATCCAGAGCTTTCTTCTTCATAAGTTCATCCTGAAGAGATATAGTTCTTAAATTTCTTACTTTTGAATATATACCCAGGGTAATGAATTAATTTCCACTTATAATTAAGCACAATTTATGGATAGAATTACTAAACAAAAATTAAAACAACGATAAGAAATTTTATACCGGTACACCCCTAACAATGATTATATCCAGAAATATTACTAAGTTCACGAGATGGTATTCATGTAAAAAATTTGACCTATAAAGGGAAGGTACACATCAGTACAGTGTGCCACTAATAAATGTACCACAGGCAGAAAGAGATATGTACACAAGCATTCCCACAGTCACAACAGCTGGGGTAGGAAAATGCCAAACAAGATGACTCCTAATAATTCTAAAGTTTTGAAATACTGTTGAACATATCTGTTATACTGTACTGTAAATTTAAATTTTTTGCTAAATATTTGCCCCTTAAATGTTATGGAGCAGTAACTGAGATGCTTATGTATGTGCACCGTGTTTTCAACAAATACAGTACTGTAATTGAACATACACAAGAAAAGAAAACTTAAAAGAAAATATCCTCACCTGCAACCAAGGATGACTCAGAGTTTGGTCTATGTTAAGTCTCCTTGACGGTTCACTAACTAATAGTTTAGTAATCAGATCCTTTGCTTCATCAGAGATTTCTGTCCAAAGTTTAGGTTGAAAATTATAGACAGCATTCTTGATCTTAAAACGTAATTTTGCATCCTCTTCACCATAGAAGGGAGGATAGCCTGACAAGCTGTGGAGACACATGATATTAGCTACAATCCTAATGAGATTAACTGTTAAAGCTTAAAAGAACTAAAGACTATTTTTCCCACTGCATACATGAAAAATAAAGGTTTTAGCCATTCAAGGAATGATCGGCTGTGACATTGTCAGATGACCCGGACTTAGGGAAACTTTGATATTCATCCCATTGCAGTACAGGTTCATACAATTATTTAAAGGTGAATCTATTTAACTAATTTCTTAAGAAGAGAACATATGACAACTAGAAGTAATTATTTCACTGGTGAACAAAGTCAACTTCACCTATCACATTTTGTTTGCTTTTTATTACGTATTTGAAACATTTCTTGTAGTACTGTAACTAGTTTCACATAGCTGACAATTTAATGGACAGTATCAGAATAATTTTAGTCAATATACATTACTTTTGAATTATATCTATACAGTACGGTATGTCCAACAAGGATGGGGTGAGGGAAACACAGGTATCCCTCGTTTAGTGATAATTCGCTAAACGTTAATTCACTTTAATGAAAAAAAAAATTCTGACACCCTTTCTTGCTAATGTTAGGCCAAAGTTTATTTAACGATACCATGTCTATGTTTACTCTACCACAATCCTGAGAGTATGCTGTGAATTCTTTAGAAAAGCTGCGTGTCATAAAGCATCATAAAAGTAATGAAGTGCTGGGAGCAATGAGCATCCCGTCTCCCCCACACACCGACTGGTGTGAGTTGTGCGTGAGCCATGGACCAACTGACTTGTGGACTTGCTCTCTCATGCAGGAGTGGTGTTGCCATTTACAATATATTGTTAGGTTAGGTTAGGTTATATGCATTTTTGCCTTGACCATATCTTCTCTTAACATTTCTATTTCTTTGATGCATCTTAGCCATACAAAAGCACAAAAAATATAACAGATTGATGGAGATACACATTATTTGTTATTGTAATTTGGTTAAATCCCTACCCTGTAGCCCAAAGTGGTGGTAGAAGATAACTTCTGAATAAAAGTGTTGTAAAGGCAGTCCCTGATTTCCGAAAATCCAAAGATACAAAATATTAATTTTTGGCCAATTTTTCCATTTACTGTGTAAACCAAAAATGTGAAGTTGCATTTTTCTTTTTTTTTATTCTTTTACAGCATCAGAAGATTCTGAGATGCTGACATAGGATATTTTGGAGCTTCCCATACTGGACCTGGGCAGATAATGAAGACAATTTAACTAAAAACAATATATAATACAGTACAGTGACCCCTTGAATATCAGGACTAAAAGGGGGACCACCTGTCCGAATGTATAAAAATTATAAATACTGTACAGTAATGATGAAAAAAATACCAAAAATACAGTACATATTATCCTGACCACTGGGGTTAGTTATACAGACTTTTTCCTGTGAAGCAGCCATAATTTTGAGCAACATATTACTGTACATACTCACTTTATAATCAAATGACTACACTAAAGGTCTAAAATTTTATATCTTGTGCAAACTAAGTAATGTTTACACTCAAATTATTCGATGTCTTGCAAGGATTCCAGCAATGCAAGTTATATTTGACTAAGTTTTGTTTGTGACATTTTACAATATAAAAACCTTCACCCTGTTTTGGGAATGCTTCTTACGTAGGCTCCTTAGCCCAGAACCCCCCAATTTTTTGTCCGAATCTTCCGAAATACGGATTTACAGGGTCCGAATCTTTGAGGGTTCACTGTACGTACTGCATTAAAAGTAGTTACGTAAGTTAAAATTAAAATACATGCTGTGTTTTAATTAGCAAGGCTCACAGGATCATTATGTGAACCAGTGGCACAGTTTTTTGGTAACTTGTGTGTGCTCTACCGCATGTATTTCACTAATTGTGTTTATTATTGGCTAATAATCATTGTGTACACCAAAAAAAAATTCATTAAAACTTCATAAATTAGGGAATACCTGAATACACCATATGAAAGATAAAGTGGAGGAGGTAACTCAGGTAATTATTATGGTTCAATAATCCATAAAAATACATGAACAACAAATAATAATAGCTTTCACCCCTTTACTAGAATAATATAATGTAATTTTTCAGGGATAAGCAAACATAAGTAGACAAGTTGACTGAGAAAAACAATAATATAAATAGAATTTACCAACCTGACAAACAAAACAACTCCCAAACTCCACAAGTCCACTTTTTTGTTGTAAGAAAGTCCCTCGAACTGTAAGAGTTCTGGGGCAATGTATGTTGGTGTGCCACAGAAAGTAGTCATCTGAGAGGCATCAACAGCAAGCTTGGACAAACCAAAGTCTGTCAATTTAACACGAGTGTATTCCTCATCTGTGGCTAAGAGAATGTTTTCTGGCTGAAAAATAAAGAAATAAATTAACAGAGGACAATGGACTCAGTTTGTTTAGTCTCACTTCATGGTATGGGCAGTATGACAAAGGGTCTTGGAGGACCATCAAACAAATGTGTGATAAGTACTGTTGACATTCTAAGTCAAGAGCAAAAGCAGCTTGAAACAATCATGGTTTGAATCAACACCACAGTTGAGTTGGTGCATTGCTAAGTAATTGGGAAAAGTTCTGTAAACCCTCTCTTCACACTTCAAACATCCTCAACCATAGTTGTCAAGTCATACTATGCCAATCATTCACATTCACTGAACTGAGCAAAGAATCAATGGGAGGTGAGCTTCAGGTAATGTGATTATCCGTTTCCAGCCATGGAAGTAAACTTGACAATCTTGGTTCATTCTCCATACCTGATATGTGACACCAAACATAACTTGTGAGGTCCAAGCCAGCCAAGACAGCTGATGGAGGGAAAGCTTTCATAGAATGCACGTGAAGAAGCATAACTTCCACTAGTGGGTACACTAATGGGTGTCACAGTGGTTTACATGATAAATCTAATTATTTAAATGGGAAATGTCCATCTGAAGGTAGAGTACTTATCCTGTTCTTATATAGGAGAGTTAATGACAAGACTACAAGATTATTATAGCTAAATTTGATTTTGAACCTGAGAACTAAACACCAGAAAAATTTATGACATTTTGAAGATAAGAAAAAAATGTTTATTAAAGATCTGAGTTTAACATTCAGTACTTATTAAAGTACAAGAGTATCCTATCTGAATTGTGAATACTGTACCTATATGCCATTCTTTCTTATGCTGGATAACCTAAAACAGGACTTCTTATGATAAATTCCACATTAAATATTTTACTTCTGGTTAGGCCTATACCTTTTACTGTACTGTACAGAATAAAACCCATTTTTTTAAATCAATTTGTACACTACAATCATTTCAGATAGGAAGATACATTCCAAGACCTTAAGAATCATATGTGTGTTTGTTGGTAAGGTAATAACTAACTTGAGACAGTACTTAAGATCCTTGAGTTAGGATACACTGCTAATTATAATACAGTAGAATGTCGATTTAAAGAGATTAAATTTAAGATTATTGATTTAAATCGACACCCACAATTAAGGACAATGTTTTAATTTAAAGCAAATTTTTCCTATTTTGCGTGAGTCAATCTGGCGCATCATATTTTAAAATTCGCGCCTAATGCTTCTCTGGGCATGCTATGCTGTCCTAAGGGCAAAGCTATACTGTACATGTACACAAAATAATGTACTAAATGATTACTAAAATTTGTGTCTGGTGCAAACTATAGCATGATTATATTCAAATTAATTACTACGTATCTTATAAGAATTCCAGCAATGTAAATTATATTCTCCCCGGTTACTTCTGTGATATTTTTTAAGCAAAAAACAAAAACTCAATCTAAAGGACATAAATAAACAAATAAATACTTCACTAGACCTTTGGCACAATTGTCAAACATGTCACTGTCACTTCCCCTCCCCCCATCTTCCCAGCCAGGGTTTGGTTATAGGCTTACAATTTTTATCTTATATAATATCACAGACTAAAGTTAGGAGAATATAATTTGCATTGCTAGAATCCTTGCAAGACAGAGAATAATTTGAATATAAACGTCATATATTTTGCACAAGAAAATTTTTTTTAGCCCTTTGTAATAAAATTAATTAGAACATGTCAGTTCAGTGACATTTTATAAGAGAAAACTTAAGGCACTCTTAAGGACAGATAAATAAATAAGCACTAGATCTTGGCATCAACTGTCAAACATATCACCTCACCTCACCTCCCCCTCCCCCCAAATCTTCACATCAGCTGATCGCTAGTAAACAGACCATTTCACGTCCCATAATTTTAGCTGTGTTGATTTATGAGTGTTTGTTTTAACATAATACTAGAAAAACAATGTTTTGTTTATTCTAGATGGGCTGAGGTGCATCTGGGTAAACTCTTAGTCATTTTAGTATTTTGTGTTTCTCTCAAGTACCAAACTAAATTATTCCATTGAAACAACACTTCATTTTAGTGCGAATTCGGTTTAAAGCGTCCTGACCTCTCTTGGAACGTATCTTTTGTTATATCGACGTTCTACTGTACATATCAACAGTATCTCCAGGGTTCCTATTCATTCTGACTCACATGTTTTGAATTTTATAGACTTATTTTCTCAAATTTACTACAGTACATTTAAATTCCATTTTCAAGGTGTAAAATATTCCCATTACTGGAATATTTGTTGGGTGATGACTGCAAAATACCTTTGGAAGATTGTACAACTACTGTACAGTATTAGGAGGAAATTTATTAAATCAACAACCTTACCACTACCCACCACCCATTTATTTCTTCCACTAATCAAAATTTCAATGAGGATTTCACAATACACAGAGTTTATGGAATAACTTCATTGTCTTGACACTTTCCTGATTTTAGTGACCAAATCCATAATTCATGATAATTGTCTGACTTTACTGGTTAATTGTATTTTTCTAACAATCCTTTACATTACTTTTTTTTTTCACTTTACAAGGTCATTGGCAATCCTATTCTCATTATTTTCATGTGAAAATTATTACCACCAAAACTCACTATTATGCCGTACTGTTAGCATGGAAAATTATTCTCACTTATCTATTAGAAAAATATATCTTGTAAGTAAAAGCATATCATCTTGTATAAAAATGTAAGTACCTTGATATCCCTGTGGGTGATGCTTTTCATGTGTAGATACTGAACTGCGAGAGCCAGCTGAAAGAAGTAGAATTTAACGGTTGCCTCAGGTAGCCGTCCATTAGCAGCAAGTCGATCAAATAATTCCCCTCCCTCTGCCAATTCCATTATTATGTACATCTTCTCCGGTGTTTCTATGACATCTTGCAATCTGATGATACAAGGCTGGTAAAACAAGAAGATAATTCTCAATAAGGCTGATGGGAGTAATCTGACATTGATATAATACATCACACAAAAAAGGGCAAATTAGCTAAAAATGCACTTTACATAGTTTCAATTTATCAATTGAGAAATTTTCTTCATTAAAGACATGCAAAAAAATTTTTTAATCCCATTTACAAATGCAGTGTTCATTATCTTGGTTAACAGTGAATGACCACATGAAATTGAAAATACTGGAAAAAATGATTTTGTGATTTGGAGTTTAATTTCCTTAAGTAAAAACTACACAAAAGAATCAATATTTCCTCCTTAATTTTTTCCAAACTTTCTTAATATTCTCCTCATCAAAACACATATTTCCATGGCCATTACTCATGCACAGCTCACCAACCACTGTCATTGTTTCTACCCAATGCTTGCCTTGTTATTCTGTATACATCTCATATCTAGTACAGTAGAACGTTGATTTAAAGCGATTCAATTTAAAATTATTGATTTAAAACGACACCCACAATTAAGGACAATTTATTAATTTAAAGCGAATCTTTCCTATTTTACGCGAGTCAATCTGGTGCATCATATGGAAATACACACTTAAAATTCGCGCCTAATGTTTACCGCCAGACGCATCTCTGGGCACGCTAAACAGCTGCCCGCCACCCTCCCACATCCTCAGTTCTCGCACTGACGCTCTAATGAACGGACATATTGTATGACACTGTCTCCTTCTACCACGTGCACCAACCATCGCCACTATGTCCAAGAGGCCAGCCACTACATCATTAACTACCTCAAAGACTAAATCAAGGCAAGCAATTACACTGGAGCAGAAAATCAAGGTGCTGGAAGCACTGCAGCGAGGAAATGGTACTTCAAGTGTGGGGCGTCAATTTGGATAGTGATGTGGATAATGAGCTGGTCGAATTGGGCTCTGCATCTTCAGAGGATGAATTGCTAAAGTAAAGTTGCGTAAAAATCAATATTTGATAGCATAAAGTAATTAAAAACTAAGTTGAGAGGAAAGTGAAAGTGCTTGGTGAATCAGCCGAGAGGCGGGTGGTACGCAGCGCCAGCGCAACCACCCTCTCACATCAGCTGATCGCTAGTAAACAGACCATTTCGCGTCTCTTAATTTTAGCTGTGTTGATTTACGACTGTTTGTTTTAGCATCACACTATAAAACACAATATTTTGTTTATTCTAGGAGATGGGCTGAGGTGCATCTGCGTAGACTCTCAGTCTTTTTAGTATTTTGTGTTTCTCTCAAGTACCAAACCAAATTATTCCATTGAAACAACACTTTGATTTAGTGCGAATTCGGTTTAAAGCGACCTCTCTTGGAACGTACCTCGTGTTATATCGTCGTTCTATTGTATCCACATATGCATCTTGTTGACTTCATAATTTTGTAAACCAATCTTCTGGCCCCGCACTTGGTCTCAAGGTAATTTTCCATATTCTAGACCTAAAATAATCTTTTATACCATGTAAGTAAAACTTGTAAATGTTATTTAGCTAACCCATTCACTGTGAAAATCAACTGTAGTCGATTTTAAATTTATTGTGCAACACCGCGAGAATTGGCTGTAGTCCACAGCGACAAAAATTTTTGTTATTCCTGCTTAAATCAACTATGTTCCAAGAGTTTGAATTCACAGCCAGCCCTGGGTTGTGCTGCCATCTTTCGATGAAAGGCTCAACCACAACTAAAACATGAGAGTTGCAGAAGACGATGCTTGACACCTGAGCCCAGCTATTGCCAACTGTCATGTGATATTTTTTATCGCCTATTATCCGACTAAATAAGGTAGGTTTTTATTCTATTATATGGGGAGAAGCAGTGTGAGTGTGTCAAGTAAGAAAATACTATATATAAAAGAAGGAATACAGTTGAACTACTGCTGCTTTTGGCATGGATTAATCCCTTCATTATGGGATATAACTTTTTTTTTGTTTTTGCTAAAAAGACGATTTTATTTAGCACAGAGAGGACTCCATACACAAGGTCTTAAGAGATAGACATCTAAAGTGAGGAGAACCACTGGTAAAACTGTGTAAGACATGTGTAAAAAGTGTAAATATCTACAGACACTTAATCATATCTTCAACTTACAAAAGAATTGTATTAAGTGAATCTTAGCACTCACAAATATACATAAAACACTTCACGGTAATTAATGGTATTGTACAAAGAAATACAGGTTGACTACCCTTTATCTGAAATTCCGAAAACCGAAAAGCTCTGAAAACCGAATTAATTTTTTTTTAAACAGGGATTAGCCCATCGGGGCCTGGGGGCGAATATGTAATAGTAATAATAATTATAATAATAATTATTCATAGTAAATAAAAAATCTAATACAAAATACACCCAAATAAAATAATAATGATAACAATAATACTGTAATAATAAAATAATAATAATTAAGAAATACAAGAATGAAAAAAAAGATAAAAAGTGAGAAACACGACCTAGACCTAAGAATTATTATTATTATTATATTTTCGCCCCCCCAGGCCCAAATGTGGGTCAGTGACTTGTGCCCAGGTGGGCTAATACACACACATAAAAAAAAACCTAACCATTCTGTAAACCGAAAAATTCCGAATTCCGAAATGCCTCTGGCCCCAAGGATTTCGGATAAGGGATTGTCAACCTGTACTGTTCCTTCACACCACATGGAACCCAGTATAGATATGTTTACAAAGAACAATCTTACCTGTCATTTGTAGCTAAATAAAACCAACAAGAAGGAACTCACATGATCAACAGACTGCAATAACTCGATCTCATTGTTGATTTGTTTTATATTATTAAGTAACAGCTGACTTCCTCTTTTCTTCAAAATTTTAACTGCGCACCTTTCTAAAGTACCCTGCAACAGTAATACAAGAATAACAAATATGACTAAGTTTAACATTAAAAGCATTTTGTGCAATAATTTCTTATACTGTATGTGAACAATGAAAATATTGTAAATACAAGTCCACAGTTTAAGAATTGGTTGCAATCCAAGATTTAATTGGCAAGTCATTCATTCAAAACTCATAATTGAATTCCTTATACACAGAATGTTATATATGGTAGTTAGGTTCTAAGTAAGCCCACAAAACCCTTTTCAACCCATAGTTAAGCTGAAATATTGTAAATTTTCAATGACTTATAAATGTTCAATGTGTAAAACCTGGCAAACAACAAAGTCAAATAGGCCAACAGATACCCTCCAAATAAGGAAGTCAAAAGAAAACATAAATTTTTATGAGTTAATGGAATTTCTGCTGTTGTATTTTCATTTCAAGCTTATTACAGTACATCTGGGTTCAACAGTTTAGGTAGCAGATAACCTTACACATGCCTGGTGATAATTTCAAGGCCTTACTCTAATTACGGAATAATTGGGGGACACCGTGGTCACTAAAGCCAAAGTCTGTTAAACCAATGTTCGATAATGTCCAATAATTCTGATAAACATTTTGTTAACCAGAGGGAAAGTCCTAGAGGCAGTGCCAGTGTCTCAGTTTGAACTAGTTACCCGTGTTGTAAACACCACCTCTCTTGTGCTCCACTGTGTGTTCACAAACTGCTACAATATATAAAACAGTTTAACTGTACAAGACTCACCTGTTTGTAGGCTAATTTGACTTCACCAAAGTTGCCCTCTCCCAGTGTTCTTGTTATGGTATACATTTGAGTTAGCTGTTCAGGGTAGTCTTGAGCATCATTTTGTACACAATCATGAAACACAAATACTGAAAAAAAAACAACGTGTAACAGTGATGGTTTGATCTCAACATTCTGTTTACTGCAGCAACTAAGATGATGAAACAATTGTCTCTTGTAAGTGGATAAGTTTTCCTATTGATTCAGCATGTTGATGATGGCCTATACATATGCTGTACTGATACTTTGAGCAAAATCAATTTGGGGGGCAGAAAAATTAAGTTTGCTCAAAATTTCAATTCCGTAAAGGTATTTCTTGATGTACATATTAAGAATATGTGATCCAAAAGTTGAAATTCTGATAATTGTCATCCAAGTAATTAGGAAAATTAATTACAGTAGTGTATAAAAATTTCATACGCCAGGGCTGTTACTGCCCGTGGGGAACCGCGGGACAGTGTTAATTAAATGTTAGAAATAGTTTAGTTATGAGACTAGTGAAGATGTAAGCGAGAGGATGTTTACAGCAGAGAGGTCCTGCTTTCTGCTCAGTAGACAGTTCTGCAGGTGGCAGTGACTGTCTGGCCTTCTATGTACTCTCAGACCACCCCTTACAGCCATACTGTGAACATCTCCACCCTCTGCTGGCATTAGACCCGTAACACGTAAGTGTAATTGTCATGTACAGTAGAACGACGATATAACACGAGATACGTTCCAAGAGAGGTCGCTTTAAACCGAATTCGCACTAAATCGAAGTGTTGTTTCAATGGAATAATTTAGTTTGGTACTTGAGAGAAACACATAATACAAAAAAGACTGAGAGTCTACCCAGATGTACCTCAGCCCATCTCCTAGAATAAACAAAACATTGTTTTTTGTAGTATTCTGCTAAAACAAACACTCATAAATTAACAAAGCTAAAATTAAGGGATGCGAAATGGTCTGTTTACTAGCGATCAGCTGATGTGAGACAGTGGTCATGTGAGAGGGTAGCCGCGCTGGCGCTGTGCACCACCCACCTCTCGCCTGATTCACCAAGCACTTTCACTTTCCTCTCAACTTAGTTTTTAATTACTTTATGCTCTCTAAAATAGATTTTCACTCAACTTTATTTACTAGACAATTCATCCTCTGAAGATGCAGAGACCAACTCGACCAGCTCATTATTCACATCACTGTCCAAGTTGACGCCCCACACTTGAAGCACCATTTCCTCACTGCTGTGCTTCCAGCCCCTTGATTTTCTGTTCCAGTGTAATTGCTTGCCTTGATTTCTTGGTCTTTGGGGAAGTTAATGATATAGTAGCTGGCCTCTTGGACATAGTGGCGATGGTTGATGCACGTGGTAGAAGGAGACAGTGTCACACAATATGTCCGTTCACTAGAGAGTCAGTGCGAGAACTGAGGATGCGTGAGGGTGTGGGAGGGTGGTGGGCAGCCGTGTAGTGTACCCAGTGATGCATCTGGCAGTAAACATTAGGCGTGAATTTTAAAAGTGTGTATTTCCATATGATGCACCAGATTGACTCACGTAAAATAGGAAAGATTCGTTTTCAATTAATAAATTGTCCTTAATTGTGGGTGTAGCTTTAAATCAATAATTTTAAAGTTAATCGCTTTAAATTGATGTTCTACTGTATCAAATAATTAGAGTATACGAGAATTACTCATCTTATAATTGCACATTCTTTAGTATAAGCCTAGGCAACATTATAGATGTTATAATTTGACGAATAGCTCAATGTGGTTCCGTTATTGTGTCCTGCTATGATTACTGTGTCTTCAATAATTATGTTAAGCCTTTTATATCATGTGTTAAGGAATTGATTCACTGATATGTAATTTGTATTGACAGGCTATGACTGAATTATATTGTTCGTGTCCATCGTGACGTGCCTCATTATCCTGCAAGCCCACAATCATCTTAATTGGCGATTACAAGGGACAATTAGTACAATTAATAATAGAAATTTCAACATTTCTACAACAGATCTGATTCAGCAGGCTGAAGATGACCTACCGATAGTGTTTTGAGCAAAATCAAATTTCTTAATACAAAAAAAAAAAAAATTGAGTACCACTGTTCAACACTGTAGAGTACAATATATCTTATAATTTTGAGGGTGCAAAAAATTAATTTTGCTCCAAATCTTAGTACAGTACCGTGCAGGTATAGGTATTTGTCGGTGTGTAGATTAAAGATGTGTTCAAAAATTTTTAATTCTGATAATTAATTGTTCTAAAAGCCACTGGAATTTGAGATTTTGATAATTAATTTCCCTGACATGCAGTGTAAGGATCCGTGGCAAAAAAATACGAAATTCTGGCAATTAAGTGTTATCCTAGTAATTTAGAGAATTACAGGTAATAATCAAAATATTATTCTCAAGGAACTACTGTATTAGGTCAATTAATTATCAAAATTTAAACATTTGACCACAGATCCTGATTTAGCATGTCGAGGAAAACCTATACTGTACTGTACTGGAAATTTGAGCAAAATAAATTTTTTTACTCCCAAAAATTCATTGAATCTTATCACAATTACATGGCAGTGTGTCACATACTGTGCTGTGCCAATTGATTCACTAGTCATCTGCACCTCCGTGGCTACAGTAAACAGACGTGTGTAATCTTCCCCTAAATTCAGTATGATCCAGGAATCTAAGCCCCGTTTTCCAAAGAACCAAGGCATCTATGAAGTCTAAATTTATGAGGTTTTCCAGAAATATAGCCTCACAAATGATGAGGGCTTACTACACATGCACACCCACGGACCTACATACCTGTCCACACAACATATGTGATAACAACCCTTGGCCAAAACAGCAAAGCTGGCACAGTACTAATATTAAATGGTGTAGCGAAATGAAATACAAACTCACTTTTCTTGTTGGCATGTGCAAGAGCAATCTCATCATTATTCTGCAACACTATCTTGTTTCCTCTGCCCACTTGTTGCTTGTTGACAAATGTACCATTGCAGGAGAGGTCCTCAAGAATTACCACCACTTCTGAATTTGGTTTACTTTCACGGGTAACTCTGTAAAAGATACAATCAATTTATGGACAAAAGAGTGTGTAGTTATGCTGAATTTATGTATGACACTATATATAATAATATAATTTTATTCTCAGCTATCTTGTGACTCATACAGCATCATCATATTTGTACAGTACTTGATTTTTAATCCAATTCAAATTAATTAATTTCCCATTACCTAATGGTAAGGTTGGTAAGTTTGCCAAGAGGCAAATTTGTTGCAAATTTAATGGCTAGATGTCCTTCCTATCCCTAACCCAGTTTTACAGAATGGGAACAATAACTGGACATAAAAAAAATTGAGTTTAAGAACCTAAGTCCAGTGTGACCTTATACCCAGAGGTGTGGAGTACTGTGATTTGTTACTCAGTTAAGAGTACAGTATAAGTAACCAGAAAAAAAACTTGGTTAAAGTAATTGTAGACTTCATCAATTCTACTTATGTCAAGGCTAGAAGTTACCAATTTACTATGTATTTATGGTAAGTAGTGAAAAATTAAAAAATTGCTTTTCAAATATGGGTTCAATATTTCTCCCGTACATACCCATCTTAAACTTCTTTGACATGGCTATCTCTTTATATAAATACATTTATCATTCCATCACTTACTCTTCCTTCTCTCAAGTAATTCTGTGGGTCAGTTCATCACTCATCATTCAACTCCAGATATCCGAAACATTCCATCTCCTCTATTTTATATTCATTCTAGCTCACATTATCATACAGTACAGTAATCTACTTTCTCTACTTATTTTCATCACTTCCTTTTCCTCACATTCACCGTTAATGATTTCCTAGCAACTACTCTTCCCAATTCACTAATATTTGTGACTGCTCCTGAATCATTTACTAGAGCAGTGTAATTCCCATATTAATACTCACTACGGTAAACTATCACTTCTCTCTACTACTGCCGGTTAACTTTCGACTCTTGATATGTTCTTAGTTAACATACTAAACAGTCATTGATGTCCAACCATTAACCAGAACCAGCTTCCCTTTTTTCATCACACTCCTACACGTTCCCTTCTCCCCATCATTCAAACGTTTCCCATTTACCTCATACATCTTATATCACTTTTCTATCTACTCTATCAGAAGATTTTCCTAAATTCATAAATGTATATTTCCCTTCTGTACTTTTATGCAAACTTTTGATACACACATTCTGTCTTTCATTAACCAACAAACACTGCTCTTCCCCTAACACACACACACGCTCTTTTGGTTACAACTCGTACTATACTCTTTTGCTGATGCACTCATTGGAATTAACTCCTATTATATTTACATCTATTCTCATCTTTATCTTTATGCATAATTTCTTCAACATTGTCCAAAGTTAATGTACAGTATTATATTTTTCCTAGATTGTACAAGTTGGAGTAAGAGTGCTGTATTGTACTTCAAAACACTTGTACTTTCTAGAAAGTAGATCCTTGAAAAAACTATTTTAGTACAGGTACTTAAGTACTGTCCAGTTATTTCACTACTTCACAACCCTGCCTATATCACTAAATGAACATTAGGCAACCATCCTTGGTCAATATTGGATCTTCAGCATAATTTTCTAAAAAATTAAATGTGATCAAATAATGGAACTGCCTCATCTTTGTTTTATCAAGCAATGGCATACAGACTAACTTGAAATGTATTTTGGAGATAGCTGGGAGGAAAGAGTTTCCAAAATGATCTTTGCTGAAGCGAAAGTCTGCATCACCTCTACCAAATGTGTAACAGTTGTTTATTAAGTCTGAAAGAGAGGAAAACATTAACATACATAAACATATCTCGCAATTGTTCACAATGTAGAGACCAATATTAAAAAGACAAAGTATTTACCCCAAATTTCAGTACAGTATATCCATAATCCAAATTATGTTGATGAAAATTAGAAATAATGTCCAAGATAGTAATAAATATATGACCAATAAAATGCTATACTCCAAGTGACTTAACATGCAGGACTTATCCTAGTGTGCCTTAACCAAAAATAGGAAAAGTTAAAATATTATCTTTAGACACATTACAGTAAATGGTGTTTGGGAATACAATAATTAATACACTTGTCATTTAAACTGCATTGTGATTTCTGTTAAAGAAGAAAGATATTATTGAATAAATAGGTATTCATCATTTTACCCATGAATTTACTTTCTTCAACAAACAAGGTTAACCTTCATGCAACTTACAAACAATTTTGCCAAATCAGGTAGTTTATTATACAGTATTCCTAGTGCTGGTACTGTAGTACTGTACAGCAGTAATATGTGTATCTCTCAAGCTGTGTCCTGGGTTCAATCCCTGGCTCGTAAGCTGATAGGTGGTAAAAAATAATACAGTACCAGTAATTAAATAAAAATACAACTTTGCAAGACAAAAATTCCTCTCACCCACAGCATTCCAGGGACTACAGTACTGTACAGTACCCTAAAGTTTTAGTCGGTTGTCCCATACAGTACAACCACAACATAAAAAATGAACAATAATTTACCTCATATACCACTAGCAAATTAATCAATTTCATAATAGCCATAATATAAAATAATACATACTGCACACAGAAATATTCTCCCGGACAGAAAAGAGTCTGCCCCAAATAATCTCTGCATCTGTGACGTCGAAGGCATTCTGACTCAACACTTCCTGAGTTTCCCGTAGTCCCTGTTATAAAAGAGAATGATGTTACAGTACTCTTATACGTACAACTACCAATAAATACAGGGTACAAGAAGATTAAAACCTGTTTTGGCAATTTAAGAAATTTAACATTGTAAAAAGACTTTGGGAAAATATCAATCATGACAATATGCATGAAATTTTTTGCAATTGGATATTAATACAGATGCATATTCCTATTAAAAGAAATAATAAATAAATAAATAAATCCAACCACATTATGCTATTTTAAGTGTCATGAATGATCAGCCAATGAGTCAAGGAGGTTCTAAAATTTATTTATTTCAGCCAATCAGCAGCAAATAGCAATAATATATTCCTTATCTTTCCCCCAAGTTTTTCAGTTACAACTGCCCTCTCCTGAACATGTGTGGTAAAAACACCATTAATTAATTTATTAAAAGTACAAGTAAAATGGAGGCTCACCTGCTCCTCCACCCTATCCCACAAATTCACCTTTCTCTTTGCAGTATTCTCAGATAATTAGTTTATCATAGGAAGGGTTTATGAAACTCTAACAAAGTTTTATACAGGTTTCAACCAGCTGTTCCTTGTAGAGTTAAGGTACCAGTACATAAACAGTATGTATAATAAAAAAACACAAAAGCTTGAATCTTGTAGGGCGTGTACAGGGGGTCCCCGGGTTACGAACAGGTTCCGTTCCTGAGGTCGTTCCTAAGTCGGATTTGTACCTAAGTTGGAACACATGCTATGTGCATACCGTACTTACAGAACAATGTTTAAAATACCACTATATCATAATCTAAGTCCTTATATACATCTAAAATCACTTAATTTAAGACAAAAGTAGAAATAGAATGACAAAATACAGTAAATGAAAGTAAAAAATAAGTCATCGGGTAAATAAAATACGTACTATAAATTTCAAGTCTAACCCATTTCGTGTCGGTGGGCGTTCATAAGTCGGGAATACCCTGTACTTGCTCTCTATCTGGGTGTGTATACAGCTCTGACTGTGTCCCACACCACTGGTCAACATCTTGACACAAAGAACAGGAAACTAGTTCCCATTTGGAACGCCACACCTAATAACTCATTAGTTTAATATACTGTACAGTATACTCGTTTAACTCTGTGTTACCTTATTAATTTTTAAAATACAATGGTAATCGACTTTTTAGTTTATTTATATGAACGATTTCGTACAAAGTTTGGCAAGGAACCACCGGCCTGAAGAGACCTGTATGCATGGATGAATCAATTTAAGGAGACTGACAGTGTTCTAAAACACCAGAGGAAGTTGTTAAATGCATACATGCTGCCTTCCACAGAACCCCAAGAAAGTCCATCCGCCATGCCAGTAACCCTGAGGTGTTAAAAATTGTGTTGAGGGAAACTGAGTACTATTGTGGCTTAGTCTGTGCTACGATTAGTGCGCATGTTGAATGTCTACCCTAATGTACTCTGATGATATGTACCCATACACCAAATGAAACTACAGCATACTGACTGTGAGCTTTGGGAATATTCCTCTGTTTGCATTATTCAATAAAAATTTATAAAAGCTTTAAAGTTGTTTGAAGTAATACTTGACGACACTGAATCATGAGAAGGGGCAACTTAAGGCAAATTCTCTAAATAAGAAAACTACTATGTTACCTCTATATCAATAGTAGAAGACATATTTAGATACAGTTTTACAACCCTTCCCTGACGCCTGCTGGACCACCACTCCACGACCCCCTGATGGAGACACGATGATCCTCCCCATACTGGCCAGATATTATGTAAATAATATTGATGATGTGTTGAAGGAATATCCTTCCTTCCTTAGGCTTTAGTAAGCACCTTTATAATATTTATATATACTTGTGACACTTGCCAGATGCTTCTGGTGTCATTGTACAGGGGTACCTAGTGACAGCACTAAGATCCCGCTTCCTCTATCAAGGAATAAATATTGAAATTGAATTGAAGTGATGCAGTTTTTCTTTTATGTGTGTGTGTGTGTGTGTGTGCTTAATGATAATTTCAGACAAAAACAAGACATTTATTCGATGACACTTTTAGCACATTTTATCCAAAACCGAGATGTGGAGATTTGAATATCAGGTAAGTACTAGAAAAGGTATTATTGCATTTGTTGCCACCAACCTCATCTACGGGAATTTTATCTTTGCAATCAATAGCTTGGACCTTTTCTACTACTTCATTATACAGTATGTAGTGTTCTGGTTTTCAACTCACCATATCACAGTTGTGGGTAAATGCGATAAAAGTGTCAAAGTAAAAAAAAGATTATTTTATTTTCGGACAACTCGAACGCAAGTACTTTCTAGCACCCGAGCTAGGAAGTTAGGCAGGTTTCTTTGGTTGGTTAGGTCAGGTTCTATTAGGTTCTGTGCATTGTCATATTGTTTCCACAACTTACTATCATCCAAAGAACATCTGTGGAGAAAATGAATGAAACTGAACAATGCATTCTGGTGTTAGCCATCTGCTCCAGGATTGCCAAGAAGTGTCGGCAAATATTTGTTTAATGGCTGTGGCTCCTTTTTGTTATTCTCATAACAATTTTAACTTCCAAATCACTGTTGAAACCTAACCTAACCTAACCTATTCTCAGAACAAAAAATGAGCCACAGTCATTAAACGAATATTAGCCAGTGTCTTAGAATTGTCCAAGTTATTGAGTTGTAAAGATAAAATTCCTATGATTCCCGTGTAGTCTGAAAGAAAACGTTTTCAAAGAAAATCAACTTTAGTGTCTGAAAACAAGATCGGTAAAAACAAAAAAATAACATCCAATTATGTCAGCTACTATAAATTTACCTATTAATAACTGAACATTATTATTCATTTGCGACAGAAGTGTCTACTGTAGAATGAAAGATACTCAGAATGATGACATATATCTATTACATGTGTTAAATACAGGACTCCATAGCTGCACCAGTACCCAACTTTCTCTTAGGCTCCAACAAATTGATTCCAATAATACTTAATGTTAACCTGGTCAAGCCTTACTTATCATTACTGATAACTCTACAAAACAGTGGAAACACTGTAGCTATGATACCAGTGGTGTGCATCATGTAATAACAACACGTCACATTTAATTCAAAACGCCATCTTATAAGTCACCTACTATTAACTCTCTCACCTGTGTACTTGCTTGACTGTTGATGATATTGTCCATGGTAGCTGCCCACTCCCTTTAACCACGGACCTGGCTCAACAGTAAAATCCAGACGTCAGTCATTAGCCATATAGTTAATATAAGTTTGTTTTTCTTCCGTCTTCCCACACAGGACGCACGGGGGGACAAGGTTTATGTTGGCACATTACAACGAACAAGAAAACGAAACTACTATTTTATTTTTTGCAGTACTGTCCCCTGTAGTAGATAATGTAAAGTTAACGTATCCTAAGGTAATTTAATACATAAAAAATATTATTAAGGGTTATAAATAGGTTTTCTTCTTTCCTTGTGGTTATCAGCATATATATATATATATATATATATATATATATATATATATATATATATATATATATATATATATATATATATATATATATATATATATATATATATATATATATATCGGGGTTGTATAAAATTCTTTGACGTCGAAATATCTGAATATGAACTTGTAGTGGATTTCTCCCCTACAAACGCTGTTTATCGCTGAGTAGCCGACCCCACCAATTCCCCAGTGTATGCCTCGTGGTCTGGGTCAACCAGCGCCGCCATACATCACGGAGCGGGGGTCAACTACTAAGCCACGCCAACCCCCGCTATTTAAGACCTGACCTCGTGGTGACCTGCCCACTTTCTACCCACACCAACCAGCCTGCAACACACCTCCTCCGCCGCTGCCTGGCGGCCCTCGCTCCTCCGCCTGCCTGGCGGTCCTCTCTCCCGCCGGCGAGCATGGCGACCCACAAGCTGTCCTTCTCTGAGCGTCCTCACCAACCAGCTCTCTCTACATCACGCTTGTAACCATGCTGCCTTCCCAGCACCAAGCTGCATTGTACATCCAATACAATATGTATATAGAGAACACATTGTGAGTTTCCTTTCTCCATTCCATCCTGAGTGTGAACACAAAACATCATTGAACCCCACAAACTACTAGCTGCTCAATGCCTCAGCTTTAACCTGGTCAGAATCTGCGTAACTACCATCTTCAAGCCTCAGGTCTGATAATCCTACTCGAGTTTGTAATTTCGACTTTGCATATCGGTAAAAAGCTTTTGAGTATGACTTGACATCGCTTGCAACCAGTCTCTGGAACTCCCTTTCAGCCTTCTACACTCTGCCTTGCTTGGTTACGGCTCTTGCATACATCCCCTTGTCCTGCTCATCTGGGTTTTTCTTCTTAACTTTGTTGACCGCCGCATGGTTCATGTGTAGGGGTCCCCTCGTATTCCTAGAGACACTGGGCTTGGTCTTGGGTATATATTTATCGATCAAATGGGTCACTTTACTAGTTATGATATTCAGCGTAGTGTCTGTGTTCTTGTGCCTTAGTGAGTCAGGCCAGTGGATACCCCTCATCTCTTCCCTCATCCCGTCGTAATTTCCCTTGTAATATTTGCACCTTGGCCTGGCTTTATCATGAACTAGGTAACAGTTAAATCTGAATGACAACACTACATGGTGACTGGTGCCAACTGGGGCTAAATGTTCCAGTTTGGCCACCATACCCTTCTCGTTTGTTATGATGAGGTCAAGTGGCTTGGGTGTTTCCTCCCCTCTGTAATGTGTCGGGTCTTTAACATGTTGGAACAGAAAATTATCTCTCAGAGTTTCTACAAAAAGAGTAGCAGGGTTATTCAAGTCATTTGGGGTGAACTCGTTTCTCCATTCGATGTCGCCATAGTTAAAGTCCCCCATGATAAGGAGGTGGCTAGGGTTGAGCATCGCTGCGTTGTTTATTAAGGCTCTAAAGTTCCTTTGATTTAGAAGGCTACAGTTTGGGGACTTGTAGATACACCCGACAATATGTAAATCCCCTCACTTTAATTTAATTTCACACCACTTGGACTCTTCAAAAACATCCTCTCCCTGTACCCTCGCCTGGCTTGCTCTAAGGTCTTGCCTATATAGCATAGATAACCCCACCCCTCTTGTAAGATTCTTGAGAAAGGTTCGTAAATGAGTCATATCCAGCAATACTGAACTCACATTCCTCTGGGTCGATTCTCCAGTTCTTGTACAACAGTTCTACAACTCCTACAATATCTGGTTGGTGTACCTTCAGTAGTGTTTCACACTCCTCTCTCTTATCAAGGAACGTGTCAGTATTAGTGTACATGACGATTTCCTGCCATTAATCCCCACACACTGATTGTTATCATGAAGAAAGTCTCTGATCCACGGTAGGACTCTTTCCCGAATCCCATACCCTTCCAGTTTAATTCTCAGCCTTTCATGGGGTACGCTGTCCAACTTTTTGGTAAACTCTACAAAGTGACAGCCACAGAGATCTTATAGGATGCGGTAGATGAAGCCTAGATAGATGACAAGACAGTGGACGGTGGAGGTAGTCTTCATATTGCCGAATTACTGAGGGTCGACGGTGCATAAAATGTCCGCATAAAACCAGTGAAAAATAAGTGTGTGTGTTTCATTACACTTCGCCCATACATCATTCATCTTTGTCATTCTCATATTTTCCCTCTCCTTCTCTCCAGTTCTTTTTTCTCTTCTCTCCTCTATGTCCATTTTCCTCTATCTCACTTCACTCTCCATTCCCTTTCCCCCAACCCCTCTCTCCTTCTCTCCCAACCTTCCTCGCCCTCTCCTTCTCATCCACAGCCATCCTTCTTTCAATCCCTCTCTCCTCTTCCACTCTTTACCCCCCATCCACTCACCCACCTAACCACTCATACCCCCTTTCCTCCCTCCCATCCTCTCTTCCATCTACCCACCCATCCCCCTCTCCCTCATTTACCCACCCACCCTCCCACCCTTTTTCCCCACACATCCACCTACCCATCATCCCTTCTACCCAACCACCCACCCACCCACACACCTACCCACCCAAACTTCATCCCACCCACCCACCCACCACATAACCCCTGCATCTCGGTGCTATTGCAATATTTAACTTCATTATCAAGGGAGGAGGGAAAAAAAACACACACACGTCATTTTTCCCCTGGGGTCCTATTTGAGGTTCTGTCACACACTGGTTTAATATCAAAATCCGGCAAACATCTGCAAATGATATGCAAACGGCGCGCTGATCCGGCAAATATTGACTGTTGAGGCTCGTTCGTCTGGGAGGAGAAGAATGAATATACACGCCATTGGGAGTCTCCTCCTCAACACCCCAGAGGATATATAAGATGCTAGTGTTATGTGTTAATGGAATATAATTCGTCATGGTAAATTATGAGAGAGAGAGAGAGAGAGAGAGAGAGAGAGAGAGAGAGAGAGAGAGAGAGAGAGAGAGAGAGAGAGAGAGAGATCGTTTTAATGACAGACTTCTACACCAAAAAGTATTACAATATGAATCAATAATAAAAAACAAAGGTGACAATTCGTGGAACAATAAACGAGCGAATATTTTATTTATAATAATGGTAATAGCTTAAACAACAACAACAATAATAATAATAACAATAACTATAATAATAATACGGGCGTTCAATATTTACCTTCTTGAACCCCAACAAATGACATTCGAGTCTGCTACAATAACTCATCTTATTGCCTAAAACCTTCCCTACCTCCCACTTTATAGCGTTTGCTCTCTCCCCTTATCATTTATTATCATTTATTGCGATTGTTTCTCCTTACATCGTTAGAGCTGACCGATGCCTCGTTACAATTTAGAAGAAGAAAAAAGTCAACGATTGCTGCCGTAACTCCAGCGTGGCGATGATGCAGAATCAGCGTTCACAAATATTCGTTACAACTTTTTCCTTATAACTGGAGGTAAGAGAACGTCGATAGTATGTTTTCGAAACTATTTTGCCGCATATCCAGTTATGGGGAAAGTATTTAAGCCTCGAAACTTTGAGAATCAGGCCGCAGACTTATGGGTGCTGGCCCTCGGTCATATATAAAGTGATTTAAGTGACGAGGGTGAGAGAGGTGGTGGGGAGTAGTGTTGACAAGAGGTGAGGGAGGGAGGTAGGGAGGAGTTTTAAGTCTCCCTTTCTTTATGTATGTATGTATGTATGTATTTATGTACGTACTGTATATATGTATGTATGCACAGTATGAAAGATGATCTGACAAGAAGAAACAGTATAGTGATCAGGTGAGTAATTTAAGAGGTGTAATCTATGACGCAACAAATCAAACGATCAAATATTTATCACACTCCAATTACTGTCTGGTCACTCTGGCTCTCTGGCTCATCTTTTTATGTGAATTTATGGCCGGATGATAAATAATTATCCGGGGGAAAAATCGAAAGTCCGGACACAGAGGATGGAGGAGAATGTTGATGTGTTCGGATAGTGGGAATTCTGTACGACTGTGTTCGGTTAATGGGGGATAAAATGATACCCTATACCTCCCTGACCACACCTTACCCTCTCTGATCACACCCTAGCGTCCCTGACCACACCTTACCCTCTCTGATCACACCCTATCCTCCCTGACCACACTTTACCCTCTCTGATCACACCCTATCCTCCCTGACCACATCCTACCCTCTCTGATCACACCCTATCCTCCCTGACCATACCTTACCCTCCCTGACCACACCCTACCCTCTCTGACCACACCCTACCTTACCAAACCACACCCTACTCACCCTCTAACCACACCCTCGCCACCCTACGTCTAGCACAAGTGGTGTTGTTTACATAATAAAAACTGCGGTAACGATAGGGGTGAGACACAGCTTGTCTGTAGGGGAGCGTGGCACTCTGTAGGGGGCGTGGCACTATGTGGGGCGTGGCACTATGTGGGGGCGTGGCACTCTGTGGGGGCGTGTGGCACTATGTGGGGGCGTGTGGCGCTATGTGGGGGCGGCGCGCCATGTGGGGGCGTGGCGCACCTATGTGAGGGGCGTGGCACTGTGGGGCGTGGCACTGTAACAGGGGTGTGGCGCTGTGGGGGCGTATTGACACCTATGTGTGAAATTAACCCAGCACTATAGCAGGGGGCGTGGCACTGAGGGGTGTGGCACTATATGAGGGTGTGGCACTATGTGGGGAGTGTGGCGCTATGTGGGGGCGTGACACTGTGGGGGCATGGCACTGTGTGGGGCGTGGCATATGTGTGGGGGGTGTGGCTCCTATGTGGGGGCGTGGCTATAGCAGGGGGGTGTGGCTCTATGTGGGGGCGTGGCACTATGTGGGGGGTG